ATCCCAGAGCTCCACGAGCCGGCAGCCTGCGCAGCAGACAGAAGCCGCAATCAGACAGAGATGCAGGGATGGGAGAACGGGTGGAAAACATCGGTTTCCATCCAGAGCTTCAAAAGCCGGCAGCCCGCGGATCAGACGGAAGCTGCGATCAGACAGAGATGCGCCGAGCTGCGGGGAGAACAAGCCGGCAGCCCGCGCATCAGACGGAAGCCGCGATCAGACAGATATGTGTCGAGAACTAGCCGGCAGCCCGCGCAGCAGATGGAAGCCGCGATCAGACAGAGATGCGCCGAGCTGCGGGGAGAACAAGCCGGCAGCCCGCGCATCAGACGGAAGCCGCGATCAGACAGATATGTGTCGAGAACTAGCCGGCAGCCCGCGCAGCAGATGGAAGCCGCGATCAGACAGAGATGCGCCGAGCTGCGGGGAGGGGAGAATAGGTGGAAAACATCGGTCTCCCGAGAGCTCCACAAGCCGATAGTCGGAACCCAGCTCCACCAACATGTTATATTTCAACCCATTTTCTAAAGTGCAGCATTATGTTAAATGCACTGGGTTTTACCCTATCACATTTAAATTTCATGGTTAAACAGTACATGTTAAAATCTAAGCTCAGCTCGGCAGTGACCTAAAATACATAAATATAATTTTACTTACCGAAAAAAATGAAGTGGAGACTCCTTGGATGCTCTATTAGTGCAATTAATGCCACAGCAAGTCATTTTGTCCAACAATTGCACAAATAATATCCAAACAAGAACACACACACACAGAGACTCAAAATCCTGGAACAGTTTCCAGGCCAGACCGAGGCTCTACTGAGGCCTTTCCACGGAGCTAGCTCTGTGGTCACGTGGGTCTGCGGCGGCGGTCACATGGTCGGATGCTCATTAATTATACAGAATTTTAGGCTTTTAATACACAAACAGAAGAGTGAGAAAAACATTCACCCCCCTCAGAGTTGTCATGAGTGTAAACTAGATCATTTAAACCAAAAACATGTTCTGGTACCAGGCTGTAAACATGTTTATTTCTGCTGTGAAATTGGTATTTTTAACATGGGAGTCAATGAGGATTTGCTCGCTTCTGACACCAGCCCCTAGCGGATGAGGGTGGAACTGCAATTTTTGGTACTTCCAGGTTGGCCTCAATTTTTAGCCGCATTGTGGGGCTTGGTTTAGATCCAACTGACCTTAGCAACTATAGACCTATTTCCAAGTTTCAGATTCTTTCTAAGATTCTTGAGAACGTGGTTTATGAACAGATTTCTTCCTTCCTCAACCCAAGTAACATCCTTGAGCCATTTCAGTCTGGTTTCCGTAAACCTCATTCTACAGAAACAGTTTTATTGAAAGTGTCCGGTGACATTACGATGGCTGCTGATTTGGGAAAATGCAGTGTTCTGGTTCTCTTGGACCTATCTTCAGTCTTCGATACAGTTGATCAACAGGTTCTGCTGATGAGACTGAGGGACCAAACTGGACTATCAGGGACAGTCCTTCAGTGGTTCCCCTCTTATTTATCAGAACGTAGCTTTAGTGTTACAGCAAACCAAATAAGGTCAGAATCTGCAGATTTGTTGAGTGGAGTGCCCCAAGGCTCCATCCTGGGTCCTGTTCTTTTCTTGTTGTATTTGACCCCTTGGGTAAGATCATTCAAAGGTTTAGTGACGTTTCATTCCACCTATTTGCTGATGAAATTCAGCTATATGTCAGGTTTTGCGGCTGAGCTGAAGCGTAGCGGAGATGGTTTGTGGCGTAACTGTGTGACCCAGATGCGGAGTGGCTAGCGTTGGGTTAGACAGAGCACGCAGCTTTACCCTGGGAACAGCGACACAGCGCTCGGAGAGAGCCGAGACTGAGTAGCAGTTCCGGAAGGATAAGGAAGCTGGCTTACTGGTAGTAGACAGCGTGGGTAGATCCTTTTGCTGGGTTTGAGGGCTGGTAAGCCTGAGAACTCGATTCAAAGTCTGGTAGGAACGATGACTGAGTAATGAATGAACGCCGGTGCTTCCGTAAATAGTGTCGGCGTGATGACGTCGGCAAGCCACGCTGGTGGCGGGAATGTTGGGAAATGGCGGCGAGAATGCTGGGAAGTGTAGTTAACCGGAGGAGTTCGTGACACTATATTGCTCTTTTAAGCAGTCTGAGCTGAATAAGTTAGACTCTTTGCTCCATTGTTTAGTGGAGATAAAGAAATGGCTTAATGAAAATTCCCTGCAGCTAAATGATAAAAAAACAGAAACTCTCGTTGTTGCCCCTGTTGGTTTTGTCCCGGATATTAAGCAGTACCTGGGCGATTTGGGCCAATCTGTGAAGTTAAGCCTTAGAAATGTAGGAGTCATCTTTGACAGTGAAATGGCTTTTGTGCAGCACTGTGAGCAGCTAACGAGAAACTGTTTTTTCAACTAAGGAACATCTCAAAACTTAGACGTGTGGTGTCAAGAAATGATTTGGAGCTCCTCATTCATGCCTTTGTGTCATCCCGTTTAGACTATTGTAATAGCTTATTTCCTAGTCTGAACAAGATGGAGCTCCATTGTCTTCAACTACTGCAGAACTCTGCTGCAAGAATCCTGACGCGCACGAATAGGAGGTTTCACAAATCCCCCATCCTAAAGGAACTTCACTGGCTGCCTGTGTCTTTTAGGTTGACGTTTAAGTTTTTGGTTCTGGTTTTCAGAGCCCTGCATGGACAAGCTCCCTCCTACATTAGAGAACTGATCCAATCCTACACCCCTATGCGGGCTCTGACGAGTGGAGATCTTAATCTGCTTAAAGTTCCTCACACTTACTATCGCACTTGAGGTGACCGCTCATTTGAAGCTGTAGCACCTAAGCTCTGGAATAACTTACCCCTCACTCTGCATTCTATTGATTCTGTCGACAAGTTCAAGAGTAAGCTTAAGACTTATTTGTTTGTTCTGGCATTCGTATTGTTATTTTAGGGCTGTTATGTTTTCTGTGTGGTCTTGGCCTTTTATGATGTTTTTTATTTATTTTTAATGATTGTTTTTATTCACTGTTTTTATTCACTTTTTGTGTTTACACTTTTACAATGCTGTCAAGCACCTTGTGGCTTATGCCTGGGAAAGGTGCTATACAAATAAAGTTTACTTACTTACTTACACCGAGGACCCAACAGAGCCCAGGGACACGGATCCCACCAGGCAGCCACCGGGATCAATCTGGAGAATAGAATTCTATAGAAATAGATAGAATTCTGGAGAAAAAGTAACACATCATCTGCATAAAGACTGACTTATATTCTATGTTCTCACACTCTATGCCTTTAATACCTATTGTTTGCCAAATTGCTACTGCTAGTGGTTGAATAAAGATAGCAAACTGTGAGGGGAAGAGTGGGCAAAATTCCACTGTTAAAGAAATATAACTGGGGACACAAAAGGCCCCAGGGCCACATTGTGGACAAGTCTCCTTTTGGCCCACTGGCCAGTCTGTCGGCCCATTAGTGAAGCTTGTAGCGACCAGAAATCATCATTTTTCATCTACAGTTTGACCTCTTCAGTGTCCGGTCTGCAACTGGCGCCTTTAATCTGCAAGAAAAATTCTGCAGTGCCTTGGCACACACGATAACATATTGTCAACAAACTGTTGCTTCACCGAAGTCTCTCTTAAAGCTTCCCTCTTATCTCAGACTGCTGTGCTTCACAGAACAAAGGATGAACTTTCATAATTAAATCCTGTAATGAAATGAACAATGAGTTAATTAATCATATGATGAATAGACAAGTTGTTAAATGAAATGTTTTGATTCATCTGTGCTTAAATTAATAAGGATGAAATGAATGAGTCCTTGCAATATCCATTTGTCTTATAATAAGCGTACGTGACTTGACAGCTCACACACTCATACACGACAGGATGACAAGGTTAACCCTCCCACTGTCCTAATGGGTGTGACCCTGCAAGGAAAGTTGCCCATTGAGCAGGGTTGATGGTTTATCCCTTGGGTCCATGTGGCAGGGGTGAGGAGTGTGCACCAACTCTGCCACGTGGACCTTAAGAAATAAACCATCAATCCTGCTCAATGGTCAACTTTCCTCGCGGGGTCACCCATAAAGACAGACGGAAGGTTAAAGTAATCCCATGACACATTGCTTTCTGATCCACAAATCAGAGCTCCTGTATCTGAGCAAGGTGTGGTTTCTGAGGTAGTTGACAAAACCCCCTTAATATGTCAAATTCTCATTTGTGAGTAAATCATAATATAAGATTTAATAAAGCGAGAATCACTTCCCGAGTTTTATGAGTTTGAGCCAAACTCTGGACTGGCCACCGGAGGAAAACTCTTTGAACCACCGCATCTTTTGACAAGCTGTCAAAACCTGTTGCACGCTGCAGCTGACACAGCAAACGGTTCCTTCAGAACAAAGCTGACACAGCTCCGACTCCTTAAGAGTCCTTCCATAGACGCAAACAACTACCTGTTGTGACCTGGAGACAACTCGAAGACCAGTCTAGTGGCGCTGCGGTTTCTCCTACGGACTTAGGTGCCTTGGGGTCCACGGACTTCAACACATTCCAGATCTACCCCGGGGGTCTCCGAAAGAGTACGTAGGCACCACAGATTGTGTCTGATGCCGTTTTATAACCATCACTTCTAGTTTAATGCAGACCAAATTCAATCATACTCAGTTTCTTCCAGATACGAGGGTTCTGATAACATCGCATTCACACATCACATTACACTACATCATACACTCATCACCTCATAGTTTTCTAGTTGTCATGTCTTATAATTTGTAGGAAAAATAAATTCCTTTACTTTTTATAAGCTTAACTTTGTCTGAATTAATACGAAATGTGCTTACGGTCCCTGAATAACAAAGAATCTTAATGCTTCTGGTTAAATATTCAAGATCAATCAGGTTGGATTTTCATATTTATATTGAAATTCACATCTTATTGATCATAATTAAAACCCCAAAATACATCTGTAGGCATAACCCTACAAGCTGGTTCTCTTTGCTTCTGCAGAAGTGTCTCATTCGGTGGGAATCCCAGTGCTGATCGGGTCCGGAGTGACGTATGACAACGTTGAGAGTTACCTGGATGCAAGTGGAATGATCATTGGTTCCCACTTTAAGCAAGGGGGCCACTGGGCCAACGCCTTGGACCCAGAGAGGGTGGGGAAGTTCATGGGAAAGATACGAGACCTTCGTCCATGAAGAGGATGTGTTCCTGTCACCATCATCATCTGTGTCAGCACAATTGACTACAGCAGCCAAAATAGAAAAACATCCACATTTTATTCATGTTTTTGTGCTTTTTACAAATACATGTATAGAAAATCACATGAAAAACACACGTTTACATTTAAGAACACTGCATATCTTTATTTAGCATGAAGACAAGCTGGAAACGAGCCACTGCTCAAAGGCCCTGAGTTCAGATTTAATCCAGCTTCAATGTTTGCAACATCATCATCAACTGTAACCACCAAAGCAACCCAAGAATAAACGTTCAACAACTCGCCCACACTCCCGAGGTGATTGGATTATCGGAAAGTAGCGCTGACTCCGGCCACCTCCCAGTGCTGACCCAGGTCTGTTGTGTTCAGTGGCTTAAATGCAGTGTGTGTGTGTGTGCGTGTGTGTGTGTGTGTACTTGTCTAATCATCATAGTGAAGACCAATGATAAATTATTCACCTGTCCACTTTATTCCTGGGGCGGCTCACGTAGAAATGATGATGCGAGCAACATCCAGTGAGATTCCAGAAGTACCAAAAGAAGATACCCTCGCAACTCAGGAACACGCTGTGTTGTATTAGCAACCAGAGAACGTTACATTTGTGGCTAAAAGAGCGATGTTTGGAAGATGTATTTCACTTCCTCTGTACATCAAAGCATGAGGACCAGGGGCCTCATTTATAAAGCTCGCTTATGCAAACTTTGGGATTTATAAAAGAAAACTTAGCAGTCAAATGTGCACAACTTTAAGTTGACTAAGGACCTGGCTTACGCACATTTTGGACATCGAGAGCACCTGCCGTGCTGCTGCTGAGAAGGATAACATTATTCCTGCAGCATTATCACTTGTACCCCTTGGTGCACACACAGGACATGTCTGGATAGTTTCTGATTTATGAAGCGGAGCTTGCGTGCAGCTGTGCGTTCTCCATGTTTGCTAGGTCACAAACCTACTAGGCATAAGTACATTTCTTTTGCTGAGCTTAAGTACGGTTTTAGTAAGGATTCTACACAATGTTTGATAAATGAGACCGCTGGACTTTGAAATAAAAGTAACTCAGAAATATTTACACAGATTTTAGACTCTAAAATTAATTGAATTGTGCTTTTAACAAGAAAACATCATTAAAGATGTGTGACACTGAAAAACCAAGTTTTAGTGATTATTTCTGGTTATAATCAGTCACTTTGAGTTTTTCATGCAGGCTGAACATGAAAATAGTCTCCTACACCTACCTCCTGCATCAGCTTCTGATAGAAAATAGACGGTGAAACTCTAGGATTAGACAATCCTGGCAGATCTATGTCACTGTGACTGAATTAAGAAAGTAGATAAAATGCTACCGTATGTTAGCTTTAGCCACATTTTCACATCATCCTCCACCTCTACCGCAGTAGGCAGAGGGACTGTTCTGTTGGAGCTGTGACAACTGGTGCTCCCTCATAACGTACGTCTCTAAAACGACCAGTAAAAGTGGATTAGTGCCAACAGATGGTGTCATCCATCGATGGTCACCATGTCGAACGCTGGAACGGAAGATAGGCGCTTTTTTCACGCAAAAGAACTTGGGAGGGCTAGGAATAAGGTAGATAAAGTGATGACGTGCTGCCTGGTACTCACTTTGGTACACTGTTACAGAGCTGTACTCGTTAGAGGTATGGTGTGGATTAGGTCGTAGATAAGGTCAGGGTCAGGCATAATTCAGTCACTAAAATGAATGGAAGTCAACGACAGTCCTCACAATGCATGCAAGACAAGAATGTGTGTGTGTGTGAGTGTGTGTGAGGTGAAATGACAGAAGTAACTCAGTGCTGTAGGACTGCTCAGTAGTTGTACACACGCTGCCTGGGCCGCTTTAGGCACCCATGGCGTTTGTTCCCGGGACAGAATCGGGTCTTAGCCAAGTTCTGCCTGAGGAGGGCGCTACGGCTCAGCTCCTTCCTCTCAGCCTCGCTCCTGGCCCTCTGCACACCCATCAGGTGCAGGCGATATGGCAGCGGGAGCCCCCAGGCAGCAAGATGCCAGGAAACGTGCCGTCTCACGGCCACCGGCCTGCAGACACATGCTCATCTTACTGGGAGTCAACGCTCAGCAGACAGTTTGGTCTGAATTTGGAATTCAAATCATTTTTGTTTAGACAGAAGTTCACCTGGATGTTTCTTCCTCCTCGTCATCAGAAAGCAGCTCCTCCTCCTCTGCCTCACCCATCCTACATTTCATTTGGTAGACAGACATGCTGGGGTGCTCGATAAGCAGGTTCTCCAGAGGGTCCACGTCAGGCGCCAACAGGGCCCCGTCCTCTGTTCCCAGTGCAAAAACACCAGTTTACATCCCGTTTTCCCTCAGAAAGATGGAAATAAAAGCTGCTGCTGTCTCACCTGGGAGGGAAACGATGACCCACCCCTCCTCCTCCAACTCCATCAGCTTACCATCGCCTGCTGCTTCTGGATCCTCTCCAGAACTCCCCAGCAGGTGAGAGAGAATCTTTCCAATCATCCTGTTTCTTTTTAGAATCTGCCATAAAAGAGAGAGAAGGGGAATGTTAGGATCCTTAGAGAGCATGCGGAGCCCTCCTCAGGCTGATCTAGAGAGCAGCTGCTCCTGTGACCCCCCTCCAGCAGCCTGAGCTGTTGCGTCGTCATGGTGACGTCAGTAACTGGGTCCTTAAACAGCTGAGGGAACAGTGAATCAGAGGATGGAATTACTCAGATTAAAAATAGTGCTGTGATAAAAATAATCTCCTGTAACGTGTGCGTCAGGGCAGAGCTAACGGTGGCCTGAGCGGCTCCTGGAGGGAAGCAAAAGCAAACACCATGCTTGTTTATTTAAAGAGCAAGTCACCCCCAAATAAACTTTTTTTTGCTGATAAAAAACTGCCTGAAACTGTCAGTGTTGTGCCGTTGTCAGGTAAAAACTCTGAACTGTATTTTAATTTAAATCTGCCACTGCTATTGGCTAAGAGGTATGCTATGATGTAAACTGGTACATTATGATGTCAGAGTGCTGTCGTGAGCCTGTGTGTGTGTGTATTTGTTAGCAGCTCCGCCCTCTCGGTCTGCCAGGCAACAGCATTTGTTGCATTTTTCAAACATGAAGTGGGAGTGGAGTTAGACTCTGGTAGGGGGTGACTTGCTCTTTAAGAACTAAGCCTAACTGTTGTATGGACCGAGGTCTGAACTCAGAACCATGACAGATTTGGGACCACTTTCTAATTCCGTGACCTGGTTTGGCCCAAGTGACCCAAACAATCAGCCTTCCACCACCGTGCTGACAGCTGTTTGGTTTTCTCCAAACATTTTGCTGTGCATTGTGGGTAAAGACGATCCTTCAATCCTCCCAAACCACGCAGTGCGAGGAGCTGCTCCACCTCCAGAACCTTGATCCAGATTGCTGCTGACACGCCCCATCCTGGAAGTAGACCTAGAGTGGTGTGCACCGTGTTTTTGTGTGTCTGTTAAACCCAGTTCTGTTTTTGTATAAAAGCAAACCGATTCGGTGCAGCTGTGAGGCTCGGGACTCATTAGAGCGGACCTCTGGTTGAATCAGTTCATGAAAGATGCGTTCTGGATGGGTTTCCTCTGCAGGACAGAGATCCAGAGAGCTGATGTGTCATAGATCTCCCTGCTGTCAGTAAAACAGATCGACCACAGGTGTCTGCTTCCTCTCCCGGTGTTCTGCCTAGTGTCGTAACAGGAACTAGTCAATAAACTGGTGTTATAATACATAAAACATGGAGGTGTACCCATGAACTCCTGCTGCTTGCCCAACACCAGGACTCAGAACAATTTGTACCCTGTAACACAATCTCACACCTGCGGTGCACCAGCTGGTCCTGGCACAGAGTACAAGATGTGACTGTACACACACACACACACACACACACACACACACACACACACACACACACACACACACACACACACACCTGACTGGTGTCACAAAAGGTTTGGATTTCTGAGCACCGAACCAACACCGGGCTGGACCAGGTTCGGGTGCAGCGGGTTTGTTTTGACGGGAGAACAAAGACAGGTGAGGCAGACACGCGCTCAGACACACAGACATGTCTCACCTGATACAGACGCGTACGTCTCCCACGCAGAAAGGCTCCTGCTATCTGGTTCTTCTTCTCAAGTTGTTGTGATCAAAAAGTTGTTTATCAGCGAGAAGAGGCTGTCCCTGACACCGAAACGTCACTGAACCACAACCAATCAGGGGCTGCGCCGGTGCTACGTCACATGTCAACAGGCGTTTGAATGCTTTCTTCTTTACTTGTAAGATGTGCTAACACCAGGTGAGAAGAGTAGAAAGGTAACGGCCAGCATCCAGAGGCACGGCACGAGCTGTCTGGAGTTCATCACGACCCGTGTAAACTAACCGTCTGTCACGAGCTGTTGAGTTCGTTGTTTGAGCGACCGCTGCACGCGCATGCGCATGTTAAAATATCCCGGGAAAAAACAACTAATTTGACACTTTTGTGGTTATTTGTTGATTTTAATAACTGTTCGTGTAACAATGATCATTTCTTTGCGTTTAAACACCTTTTTGGTGTTGATTTCTGCTCGGCCGTGACGTAGATCGCGTCGTAAAGCCGGAAGTGGCAGCTGTAGCAGGGTTCGGGTGGAGATCAGAGAGCAAAGGTCGGCGCTCGCGGGTCCGCACACACAGCTGAGCAGGAAAGCGTCACAGGTAGGTAAATAACGGGCTGTGCTCGGAGCTCTGGCAAGATCCAGACCTCCGTTACCGGTCTGAACCTTTTCTCTTTGCTGTTCAAAGGGTTATTTGAACTTATTTCACTAAGATCTAATGTGAAATGACGTGTGGGCTGACTGCTGCTGCTCTGAGGTTTAAACATAAGTGAAAGAGAAACCAGCTGAGGAGACAGTTCTGTTCGCGATGACCCTGGACGTGAACGTGGTGTGTACGAGGTCTGCTGCTTGTGCCCTTTTTTCTCTCTCAGCACTGGGATGGCGCCAAGGATGGATGATGTGGTCCGCCTGTGCTGTGAGATCTCCGCCCATGGTCAGATGAAGGTGGCTGTGAAGAACTCCACCAAAGGAGCGATGGTGGCTGGGGGCACCGCCTTCGTAGGCGGGCTGCTGGGTGGGCCTGCAGGCATTGCTGTTGGTAAGGACCCGGATCAAACCCGTCCTTGTGGAGTCTCAGTGTGGGCTTGTTTCACGTGGGCCAGATGTTCACCCTTGCTGAGTTTCTTAGTCCTAGGTATTTGGGTTCTTACTTGTGTTTCGGACCAATGTCCCCCTAGCATTTGTGTGGGGGGTGCAGAGGTTGTCTCTGTGCACCTAAATAAATACCTGCAGCCACTGTCCCAGCATCAAGTTAAGCTCATTCCCAGTGTGGGCTGGACTCCCCCAGGACCGGTCCTTGTCTCCAGTCCTGTCTGTGATGACAATGGACAGAATCTCACAGCATGAGGAGAGAACTATGTCTGGTTTGGGACCAGCGGGGTCATGTCTCGGCTTCCTGTAGACAATGTGGTTCTGTTGGAGTTCTCAAGCCTGAACTGGGGTGGTTCCGAGTTGGCTCGGGTGCACCTGTTTCAGGAACTAGAAGTGAGCCAGATCAGAGCTGAGCTTGACATGACAGAAGTCTTATTTCCTGATATTTGGACATCTCACCTCTAACTGGATAGGAGCAACACAACTCTGCTCTGCAACGTTGATGTTTTGTCTCCACAAATAACACAAGCCTGGAGGAGTTCTGCTGTGTGGTGGAGTAGCTAATGCTAACGGTTAGCAGAGACGTTACATGTTTCTTTGATGTTAAGCCAACCACAGCCTTCCCCGTCTCAAGTCCAGAAGGAGATAGGTGTAGGAGACTGTCTTTTTTATGTTTAGCCTGTATGAAAAACTCAGAGTGACCGATTGTAGTCAGAAATAATCATTTTAAAGACCAAAGGTCTGGACCTCTCTCCCCCTGAGCCTGAGATCAATGGACTCAGTGGTCTCCTTTATAAAGCAGCTGCAGACTCACCTGTTCAGCCTGCTGTGGTGCGACCTTCATCACCCTCTCCTTATTCTGCTCTTATTCCGCCTTTCCCGGGATCCACTGATTACCTCTTCACTATTCATTTTCTCTCCCCCTTTCCTTACGTTTGTTATCACAATTTTTTTTATTTGTTCTCATTTTAAACATCATTTTAATCATTTTAAAATCTTGTTTATATTTAAAACTTATTGGTTTTGTCAAGCGCCCCGTGATTTTTACATTGAGAGGCTCTATTTAAAAGATCGTTTTCTTTCTTTCCAAAAATGTTTTTTCAGTGAAGTTCACCTTTTCAGACTTTTGATTTTTTATGCTCGTGATCGCCCCCTCAGGCCAAAAGCGTAACGGCAGCTTCAATAGTAGGCTCGTGCACGAGGCGCGCATGCTGTACGTGCACACTCCTTAACGAAAATAACAGCTGAGACAGTCCTGTGTGTGTGTGTGTGTGTGTGTGGGGGGGGGGGCGGCGGAGGACAGGAGAACACGCAGCTAATTAATTAAATAATGTGGTTCTGTACCTTTCTCTTCAGCACAGCCGACAAAGGTTTATGATGGGTCAGTCCTCCTGCATGCTCAGATCATTCCCTTCCCTTGCTTGAAAAATTGTTCCAAAATGAAAGTTGAACCCACATCTTTTTTATCTGTGAATTCAATGCCGTTCGGCGAGTCTCAAATAAAAATTTGGGCATCTTACTGTAAAAAAATATACCATTAATGTAAAAAGAAACTCTAAATAAAATATGTTCACATCCAGAATCAAACCCAGGTCTTCTGGACGAGAGTCCAATGTCTTACTAGATGAGCTAAAGCGCCAGTGACATTCTTTTGTATCTGTAGTTTTTATATTCTTGATGACAGCGATCAAAGAACGGTTCGGAGTGAAAATGGCTGTTTTGTTGCTAATTAGCAGGAAATATCTAGAAGAAAGTTCTACAGAAAGTCGCTAAGGGTCCTCAGAAATGTAGCTAGCTTTGTCACTAGGCGTTAGGAACAGCGACAAAGTGGCACTGCCTCTCTCTCTGCTGCTAAAGCTACGGATAGCAAATGCTACGGGCGATGCCTGAGCGTGAACGCGCATGAAGCAGCCTGCTCGACCCGAGCATCTCTCTTTTTCTGTGATTTTACAGAAAAACAGGCAATCACAGTAAAAATGCCAGGGCTCATTCTACAGGACCAGGGCATTGCAGGAGAATGTATGAAGAAGACATTTATTATTTCTATACATGTTTTGGCTGTCAAACTTCCATAATGCCCCTTTAAAGGGAGCGTTCCTCTCCACTTTTGCTACATGCTTGTTTATTATGGGATTGCTGTACGATTCTGACCCAAGTTAGTGACTCAGTGTAATCTGCTGGGTTTCCTTCGATGGGAAACTTAACTCATTTGAATAATGAACTGAAGTAGGTTCAGTAGGAATGTTTACTTTGTAAAGTGCCTTGAGGCGACTCCTGTTGTGGTGCTAGATAAACTGAATTGTTACTTCCTCATGGAGCCACATCCATAAACCCTCCGAACCTCCTCGTCGGCTGTGATGAACACATCCTGATGCCTGGTGAAAGCTGGACATTTACGCGTGTTTATACACACCATAACAGAGCTTCTGTTCGTGTCTCGGTCAGGTGGAGCCGTGGGCGGCCTGCTGGGGGCCTGGATGACCAGCGGTCAGTTCAGGCCTTTGCCACAGATCCTGATGGAGTTGCCTGTTGACCAGAAACAGAAGCTCTATGATGACGTGGCTCGTGTGCTCGACAGCCTGGACTGGATGGATGCGGCCCAGCTCATAGCCCTGGTGATGGGCAACGCCACGCTGCAGCAGCAGGTCACCTGTGCCCTGCTTAATTACGTCACACAGGAACTCAGAGCTGAGGTGCGTTACCATGACTGAGTCATGGTTCTACATGGACTCGGCTGGGCCTTTAGACTCAACACAAGAAGTTGCATATTTATCTCAGCGCACATTTTCTACAGGAAAAATGTTTTTTTTTTTATGGGTAAATTCATCACAATGTGGACAAGATCATCCCTCAGGAATGCGTTATTCCTATAAGACTCCCCGTCTCCACAGCAGGATGTTTTATGGTAATTGGGGTGTCTTGACTGTTTATGCATTCTTAAATGTTATTTTAAAATAATGTTTACATGTATGATAAAAGTCCAGGACCCAGAGCGCTCCACCCACTAGAGGGCAGTAAAATCAACATTAGTTTTTAAAGAAACAGCTGCTCATTCTGCTTTTGTTTTCAGGCTTTTTTGTTTGTAAAACATATCACTGCATAATAAAACATTCGTAACTGAAGTTTTAAATGTGTCGACTCCCATTCCTACAGGACCGTTGGGTAAGCATTATGGGCTCGACACACGGGAGGCGACATCGCCTCTCCTCCATTCATTTTCAATGAGACATGCGCGACAAAGCGATAATCGCGGGTCTCTCTCCTACTAAGCGAAACGCGAAAAACGTGCGTGTGAAATTTTGCGCTCGTGCACGACACGTGCACGGACGACCCAGCGACGCGATCCCAGAAAGTTGAAACATTTTTAACTTTTCATCGCTGTCGCTCGGACGAGGACCAATCAACGGAGGTTTCATTCACTGACCAATGAGCGGACAGGATGCTCCGCACATCTCCGAGCAAACATGGAGAAGTTGATTATTATTATGTTTTATAGTAAAATCAGAAGTAAGATTTCACATAACTCTAGCAGCACCTTGTGAAACATATCTACCGCTTTATTAACTCTGAACCGCTTAAATAACCTTAATTCCCTCCAACCTGACACAGCCAATCAAAACAACGGAAGATTCGATTTCGCCATGGAACAGAACGCATAGACGGCTTCATGCAGTCAATACAATTATGTCATTTTCAAAAATTCATAAAAAATCATCCAGAGTAGTTGATGTCCAACTTTCAACAATTATTACTCTGGGACACCTACTGTACCTGTGTGCCACATTTCAGACAGATTTACTGTAGAAATCCTCAGAAATTAAAGCAAACTTGTATTCAGTGCAATACAGTCAATACAATTGGGTCATTTTCACAAATTCATTAAAATTCATCCTGAGGAGTTGATGGCCAATATCGCCACCTTTCTTTGCAAGGACACTCAAAAGCCTGCCATCCATGGATTCTGTCAGTGTTTTGATCTGTTCACCATCAACATCGCGTGCAGCAGCAACCACAGCCTCCCAGACACGGTTCAGAGAGGTGTACCGTTTTCCCTCCTTGTAAATCTCACACTTGATGATGGACTACAGGTTCTCCATGGGGTTCAGATCAGGTGAACAAGGAGGCCATGTCATTAGTTTTTCTTCTTTTATACCCTTTCTTGCCAGCCACGCTGTGGAGTACTTGGACGCGTGTGATGGAGCGTTGTCCTGCATGAACATCATGTTTTTCTTGAAGGATGCAGACTTCTTCCTGTACCACTGCTTGAAGAAGGTGTCTTCCAGAAACTGGCAGTAGGACTGGGAGTTGAGCTCGACTCCATCCTCAACCCGAAAAGGCCCCACAAGCTCATCTTTGATGATACCAGCCCAAACCAGTACTCCACCTCCACCTTGCTGGCGTCCGAGTCGGACTGGAGCTCTCTGCCCTTTACCAATCCAGCCACGGGCCCATCCATCTGGCCCATCAAGACTCACTCTCATTTCATCAGTCCATAAAACCTTAGAAACATCAGTCTTGAGATATTTCTTGGCCCAGTCTTGACGTTTCAGCTTGTGTGTCTTGTTCAGTGGTGGTCGTCTTTCAGCCTTTCTTACCTTGGCCATGTCTCTGAGTATTGCACACCTTGTGCTTTTGGGCACTCCAGTGATGCTGCAGCTCTGAAATACGGCCAAAACGGTGGCAAGTGGCATCTTGGCAGCTGCACGCTTGACTTTTCTCAGTTCATGGGCAGTTATTTTGCACCTTGGTTTGTCCACACGCTTCTTGCGACCCTGTTGACTATTTTGAATGAAACGCTTGATTGTTCGATGATCACGCTTCAGAAGCTTTGCAATTTTAAGACTGCTGCATCCCTCTGCAAGATATCTCACTATTTTTGACCTTTCTGAGCCTGTCAAGTCCTTCTTTTGACCCATTTTGCCAAAGGAAAGGAAGTTGCCTAATAATTATGCACACCTGATATAGGGTGTTGATGTCATTAGACCACACCCCTTCTCATTACAGAGATGCACATCACCTAATATGCTTGATTGGTAGAAGGCTTTCGAGCCTATACAGCTTGGAGTAAGACAACATGCATGAATCAATCAATCAATCAAAGCTTTATTTATAAAGCGTCTTCCGTAACCCTGTCAGGAAGCCCAAAGCGCTGAACATGGTACAGTTGTAAGTAATTATACTGAATAAATCAACAATAAAAGAAATTCAAATTACAAAATACAAATTACAAAATACAAAATGGAAATTACAAGATAAATGAAACATTCCGGTAAAATACAAATGTGTGAAACACAATTGGATTGAGTGGATGGATTGAGTGTACCAATGAAAACTGGAATGGATTCAACATAATAGAGGGCCATAATCAAACATGTTCTGGAAACGCCAAGCGGAGGAGGTGTGTTTTTAGGTGATTCTTAAAGACTGGCAGAGAAGGGGACAGCCTGACTGAGGGTGGCAACTGGTTCCAGAGTGACGGTGCTACGACTGAGAAAGCCCGGTCCCCACGGGTACGACACCTAGACCGAGGGACAGCGGGCAGGCCTTGGTCAGAGGAGCGCAGAGCACGTGATGGGGAGTGTCTTTTCAGGAGTGTGGCTAGATAGGGGGACCACCACCCTGGAAGAAATGATAAACAAAGACGAGGATTTTGAATTGTGAGCGATAGCAAATCGGAAGCCAGTGCAGGGAGGCCAGAACCGGACTGATGTGGTCCCGTTTCCTGGTCCCAGTCAGGAACCTGGCAGCGCTGTTCTGCACAACCTGTAGGCGATGCAGTGTTGACTGACACAACCCTGCATATAGAGAGTTGCAGTAATCAAGCCGAGAAATAACAAAGGCATGCAGTACCCGCTCCAGGTGGGCTCTCGACAGCATATGCTTGATTTTAGCAAGGCGTCTCAGGTGAAAGAAACTGGACCGGATCACAGAATTGATGTGAGCATCAAATTTAAGTCCTACATCAAGTTTCACCCCCAAACTGGTAACAACTGGTTTTGAGTATGGAGAAAGAGGGCCAAGATCAGCATAACGATCCACATTCCTGCTGTTGGGGTGAAAAACAATGAGCTCTGTCTTTCCCTCATTCAGATGTAGATAGTTGGACATTAGCCAAGACTTCACCTCATTAACACAGGAGACAAAGGACTGGATAGAGTGACCTTTCTCCTGACACAATGGAGAGTAAATCTGGCAATCGTCGGCATACAGATGGAATGATAGGCCATGTTTACGAAAGATTGACCCCAGAGGTAGCAGATAAATGGCAAACAAAAGTGGACCAAGGATCGACCCCTGCGGGACCCCCCACCGGAGCCCCTCCCAAGAAGAAAAAACATCACCCAGTTTAACACAGAATGTCCTGTTTTGGAGATACGATCTAAACCAGTCCAGAGCTGACCCTTTGATCCCAACCCATCGTTCCAAGCGATCGAGTAGGATCGCGTGGTCAAATGAAGAGGATGATGTGGACAAAATACTCATTTGTCTAATAATTCTGCACTCCCTGTATACGTCAGATTAACTTCACAACATTAACATACAAGGGAGACTGGAACGTAATGGGAGGTGACACAAAAGGATCTATGTAAACAAAGGAGCAAAGACTGAGCAACTATGAGCTGTCATGGAGAATTAGAAGAACGTTACATAAAGTATCGACAAAATAAAACTAGTAAATAATTACAGCAAAAACTGCTATTACAATCATTCAATGAATCAATAGTAATCTGTATCAACAAATACCAAAACAAATGCAAAAACGGTTGTGTCACATACCCAATCTGCGATAATCACATTGTTTTCTTAATTTAGTGTAATTTTTTTACAAAAGGTATTAAAATGAAAAAGACTGCAATACAAAATCAAAATGAACTAGCTCTATTTACAGTTCTGAAATACATAACCTTTATATGTACACATACAAATTTCTAAATAATATTTACACCTGTTCCTCAGTTTCTATCAATGCAAATAAGAAATTACATGACATTAGTCAACCTTATATTGTCACGTTGAGAGGTTGGTTTGTAGGACCCAAAATGCAGCACCCAAGATGACACGAGGCAGGGATGAGAATAAGTAAAATCCTTTATTTAAAGGTGAGTCAAAAACAAAAGTAACTCCAAGGCTGGGAGCCGAAATCCAAAATGTCCAAAATCCAAAACTAGAGATCCAAAAACAGAGACACAAGAAGAACAAGCAAACTAGAGACGAGGAACAAGAGACTGACAGAATTACCACAAAGCACAGACAAGACACTGAGACGACAGGGCTGGATGAGAGGGAGATGAGCTGCAGGTGTGTGGGGTGTGGGAGGAGGACCAGGTAAAGGCAATGACTAATCAGGGGAGAAGCTAACTTGACCTAAGAATAAAACCTAATACAAAAGAGCAGAAAACATAACTACAATTCAACGGGAGGGAGGAGAAAAATAATAAACACTGATAAGAAAAACATAATAAATCATGAATGGCTGTAACTAAAGGAAATGACTTGAGAAACCTAGAGGGCTGGAGATCTAGGGGCAAATGGGGAAAACCAGGAGACAAATTAGGAAGACGCAGACATGACACATGAGGGCGCTAGAGGACACAAAAGGAGCACCTAGAGAACGAATGGAGGACACAAGGAGACACATGAGGGGAGATGCAGACACAGACCATGACATATATACATTTTACAAATTAAATAAGAGTATTTATTTTTCACAGAGTGCGCACTCCCATTCTGCAGCCTCTGCCTTCTGATAAAGCTCAGTGTTCATCTGCAGGCATTGTTTGTGAAACCACCATGCCGGCAAATCGGCATAATATTACCGCAACGTTGTGTTTTATAAATGCGCCATGCCGGTTGTTTTTCTATTTATTTATTTATTTATTTGGCAATGCTGGAAAGTAGGGCTGAATGATTTAGGAAATGATTGGGTCATCGGACTCACGTTAAGAAGAAGAAAAAATATCATTTCTATAGCGCCTCTCAAGATAAAAATCACGAGGCGCTTAAGCATAATTGTGCACACACGAAGACGCATAAGAGACCTGGATGAAGAAGCTCAATGGTTAAAGGAATCACTGAAGCGGTGTGAAGCGCTCCGTCGCGCGTCTAGGCGGTACCGTAGGAGGCGAGCTGCCGTGGTTCACCGCATGCTACAGGAGCGAGCTATCTAGGTGCGCACAGCGTCCCCCAGTCCCCTCCTCCTCCTCCTCCCCCTTGTCCGGAACTCTACCTCACCAGTCTGAAGCAGCCACCCTGTCCGTAACAAGTCCGGACCTGTTACTAGGGGCTTCGTCCGGATAAATTCCGGAACACGTTATCCGGATGTTTGTATTCAGACACAACGGTCTTACGGACAGAGTCCGGAACATTTCCGTTTTTCATGGCCTGTCTGAAGGGGGCTCTGGTAACATTTTTACAAGCTGATCAATCTCAAAGCACATGACTGGCGTGGTCAAAGCACACATCATTCATTTTCATTTAAATTGAAGTTAATCTACAGCGCTCGCATAAATGAGTACACCCCAATATTTGTCAGAAAGCCTTTAGTTTCCTTTCAGTATCAACATTTTGTATGAGTTACCATAGTACTAAATACTCCCACAAATGTGGGCCATTGATTGCAAACAAGATTTGTTCATTTGTACAGACAAAAAATTGATTTTCCTAACAAATCCATTCAAGTCCATGTTGCAAAAATGAGTACACCCTAATTATAGTCTAGGAGAAAAGTCACACTTAAGACCACAAAATTCTAATTAACAGGCATTCGACCGGTGGTGAGTAATGATCCATTTAAGAGGTGTCCAGCAGACAGGTAAAAGAGCATTACTTAGCAGAGAAAAGCGCTTCCCATTTCATTTTATCAGCAACAGCTCCACATAAAAGAGAACTGTCCCAACATCTGAGAAAGGAAATAATTTCCTTACACAAAAAAGGTGAGAGCTACAAGAAGATCAGCAAAGCTTTGCATATCTGTCAGAATATTGTAGCAAAAGTGATCCAAACATTTACGGAAGATGGACGTGCAACCGTCTTACAGAGACGCCAAGACCGTCCACGGAAGTTAACACCTCGACAGCAGCACCTTCTGAAGAGAAGGGTTTAAGAAAATCTCCATGCAAGTTCACTGCAGTTAGTTAAAGCAGTAGAAAGCCGAACTGGAGTGACGTGTGCCGTGGAAATGGTTTCACGTTGGAAGCATCAATGGTGCGAAACGGCAGTGGAATGTTTACTCGTGAACTTCAAAGCAGCTCTTTTCACACCGGGAGAATCTTGGCAGCGGCACGACTTCCTCGCTGTGCTCTTGTTGCAAGATCGCAAGATCCCTCGAGACTTCAGGTCACAGTTTGTTTATGCAATCCGCCTTTAAACCAAACAGAAGGAAATCCCGTCGTTATCGCTGTTTAATGTCATATATGATGTTCTTCTCCACTGCTAGAGAGAAGCATGGTGCCTACAGTGAAACACGGTGGTGGCGATGTCCTTATGTGGGGCTGCCTAGGTGCTGCCGGTGTTGGGGAGCTGCATTTCATTGATGGTATCATGAGCTCAACAATGTACTGCTCTATACTGATTTTTGCTTCAAACAATCTTAGTAAAACTGAAGAATTTATATTATTAATCTTAATTTCATGTTATGAGCTAAACAAATTCTGGAAATGGTTCTTTTGTTGGCAAGCCGAGCCAAGAGCCTACACAATCCAAAACTTCATAATATTAATGAAATATCTTCTGACTTATCGAGCCTACAAAGCCATGGTCCCCTCACAAGACACCAGACTTTTATCTAACTCCTTTTTAAAAAAATATTTTATTCTGGCCAGCAGACCCTGAGGTTATCTTTGAACAGCTGACGCGGATTCAGAGGAATATGGCCTTTGACATCTAGAAGTCAAACTGCTCGCTTGCCAAAGAGACTTCATGGCCAGCAGGATCGCTGAGAAGCAAGGCAAGGGCAAAAGGTGCAGCATAAGAACATTGATTCAAAGGCTGATGAAAACAGGAAGGTTTTCAATTCTGATTTAAACTTTCTAGAGTTGGGACACATCTGAGGTCATGAGGAAGCTGATTCCATCTGTGAACAGCATAGTAGCTAAAAGCAGCCTCACCTGTTTGATTCTGACCCGGTTCTACCAGCTGACTGCTTCCTAAGGATCTCAGAGCCCTGCTGGTTGTATATACAGGAAGGAGATCCGACATGTATTCTGGCCCCATGCCACTGAGTGATTTATAAACTAGTAGAAGTACTCTGAAATGGATTCTGTAGTATACTGGTGACCACAGGAGTGGTGTGTTCGGTTCTGTTGGTCCTTGTTAAGACTCTAGCAGCAGCATTCTGAATCTGAAGCTGCTGTTGCTTCACAGCTTTTTCAGGAAGACCAGTAAAAAGACAGTTTAATAGTCCAGCCTGCTGGAGATGAACACATGAATGAGTTTCTCTACGTCGTGTCTGGACATGAGACCTCTGAGTCGTGCTATTTGATGCTGAAGATAAAACGCGGAACTAGCTATAGCCTTAATGCGACCAGTGAAGCTCAGGTCTGCATCAGTTATGACACCAAGATCTCTAAACTGGACCAAGTTGATCAATAACCTCCATCCTATCTTCTTATTTCCAAAGACAATAACTTCAGTATTGTCATCACATGGGTACTGTGCTCACACCTGGTGTTGGATGGTTTTAGTAATTGGATAATTTAACCCTCCCACTGTCTTTACTGGTGACCCCGCGAGGAAAATTGACCACTGAGCAGGGTTGATGGTTTATCCCTTGAGGTCCAGGTGGCAGGGGTGAGGTGGTGCTCACTCCTCACCCCTGCCCCACGGACCTGAGGGATAAACCATCAACCCTGCTCAGTGGTCAATTTTCCTCGCGGGGTCACCAGTAAAGACAGTGGGAGGGTTAAACGTAAGTAAACATTCAGCCAGACTTATTTTACAACCCAGACATCACAATTTTCTAAGACACTTAATTAGGTTTTAACATAACATCTAAGCTCATATTTCATCATTGCTCATTCAGTGTCTCAGTTGATATCACCTTAACTCATTTATAATAATTTGTTCTGCATCACCATAGAAATATAGCAAGAAATAGATGTTTTATATAAACTATATTTTTGCCTCCGTGTCAAATTATTATACAGTGGTGTTCCCTGGCATACCTAAATTACCTAGTTTCATCATCAATCAATATTAAAGGATCCATATTTTAATGGAATATTACATTTTACTGAATACCTTTATCCTGCTGGGGGACTTCAGTGCTCACGTGGGCAATGACAGCTTGACCTGGAGGGGTGTGATTGGGAGGATCGGCCCGCCTGATCTGAACTCGAGTGGTGTTTCGTTATTGGACTTCTATGCAAGCCGCAGTTTGGCCATAACGAACACCATGCTCGAGCATAAGGATGCCCATCGGTACACTTGGTAACAGGGCAGCCGAGGTCGCAGGTCGATGATAGACTTTGTAGTCGTATCATCTGACCTGCAGCCGTATGTTTTGGACACCCGAGTGAAGAGAGGAACGAAGCTGTCAACTGATCACCACCTGGTGGTGAGTTGGATCAGATGGCAGGGGAAGGCGCGTAGACCTGGCAGACCCAAACACATTGTGAGGGTCTGCTGAGAACGCCTGGCAGAAGAACCTGTTAAGACGGTCTTCAACTCCCACCTCCGGCAGAGCTTTGACCACGTCCCGAGAGCAGTGGGAGACATTGACTCCGAGTGGGTCTTGTTCCACTCTGCGATTGTCGAGGCGGCTGTTGCTAGCTGTGGTCGCAAGGTGGCCGGTGCCAGTCGTGGTGGCAACCCCCGTACCCGCTGGTGGACACCAGAGGTTCGGGGAGCCGTCAGGCTGAAGAAGGAGGCCAACAAGGCGTGGCTGGTCTGTGGGTCTCCGGAGGCAGCAGACAGGTACCGGATATCCAAGCGGGGTGCAGCAGTGGCAGTTGCCTAGGCAAAATCTCGGGCATGGGAGGAGTTTGGTGAGGCCATGGAGAAAGACTATCTATCGGCTCCAAAGAGGTTCTGGCAAACTGTTCGGCGCCTCAGGAGAGGAAGGCAGCAACTCGCTCACACTGTTTACAGTGGGGATGGGGAGCTGCTGACGTCAGCTGGGGCTATAGTCGGATGGTGGAAGGAATACTTTGAGGAGCTCCTCAATCCCACCAATGCGCATTCCGAGGAGGAACCAGAGCCGGGAGACCTGGGGATGGACTGTCCAATCTCGGGGGCAGAAGTTGCTGAGGTAGTCAAACAACTCCACAGCGGCGGAGCCTCGGGGACGGATGAGACTCGTCCTGGGTATCTCAAGGCTATGGATGTTGTAGGGCTGTCATGGTTGACACGTCTCTGCAACATTGCGTGGTCATCGGGGGCCGTTCCTGTGGAGTGGCAGACCGGAGTGGTGGTCCCCATCTTTAAGAGTGATGACCTGAGAGTGTGTTCCAACTATAGGGGGATCACACTCCTCAGCCTCCCTGGAAAGGTCTACTCCAAGGTACTGGAGAGGAGGGTCCGATCGACAGTTGAATCTCAGATTGAGGAGGAGCAATGTGGTTTTCATCTTGGCCGTGGAACTGTGGATCAGCTCTATACCCGTGCAAGGGTGATGGAGGGGGCATGGGAGTTTGCCCAACCAATCCACATGTGTTTTGTGGATTTGGAGAAGGCTTATGACCGTGTCCCCAGGGGCACCCTGTGGGGGACGCTCCAGGAGTATGGGGTGGGTGGCTTTCTGTTAAGGGCCATTCAGTCCCTTTACCAGAGGAGCGTGAGTTTAGTCCGCATAGCCGGTAGTAAGTCGGACCTGTTCCCGGTGAGGGTTGGACTCCGCCAGGGCTGCCCTTTGTCACCGGTTCTGTTCATTACCTTTATGGATAGAATTTGTAGGTGCAGCCGTGGTGTGGAGTGTGTCGAGTTTGGTCTCGTCTCTGCTTTTTGCGGATGATGTGGTCCTCCTAGCTTCATCCAGCTCTGACCTTCAGCTCTTGCTGGGTAGGTTCGCGGCCGAGTGTGAAGCGTCTGGGATGAGGATCAGCACCTCCAAATCTGAGACCATGGTTCTCGACCGGAAAAGGGTGGCTTGCCAGCTCTGGGTCGGGGAGAGGTCCTACCTCAAGTGGAGGAGTTTAAGTATCTCGGGGTCTTGTTCACGAGTGAGGGTAGGAGGGATCGGGAGATCGACAGGCGGATTGGTTCGGCGTCAGCAGTGATGCGGACGCTGAGCCGATCTGTCGTGGTGAAGAGGGAGCTGAGCCAGAAAGCCAGGCTCTCGATTTACCGGTCGATCTACGTCCCAATCCTCACCTATGGTCATGAGCTTTGGGTAATGACCGAAAGAACGAGATCGCGGATACAAGCGGCCGAAATGAGTTTCCTCCGTAGGGTGGCCGGGCTCAGCCTTAGAGATAGGGTGAGGAGCTCGGACATTAGGGAGGGACTCAGAGTAGAACCGCTGCTCCTCCGGATCGAAAGGAGTCAGCTGAAGTGGTTTGAACATCTGGTCAGGATGCCTCCTGGACGCCTCCCCGGGGAGGTGTTCCGGGCATGTCCTGCCGGCAGGAGGCCCCCGGGTCGACCCAGGACACGTTGGAGAGGTTACATCTCCAATCTGGTCCGGGAACGCCTTGGGGTCCTGCCGGAGGAACTGGTGGAGGTGGCTGGGGAGAGGATGGTCTGGAGCTCCCTAGTTGGGATGCTGCCCCCGCAACCCGGACCCGGATAAGCAGAGGAAGATGACGACGACTACAATGAATACCTTTATATTGCATTGACAAATTATTAAAAGTAACCACTTACAAAACCTTACACAGAAATGCTTAGGTGTAACGGTATCTTTGGCATTCGCACTAAAGGTCAGTGTGATAAATATTGTGACAGGGTATTGTCAAATATTGTCTATTTTAATATTAAAAAGAAACTGAAATATAACCAAGTACAATTTCAGTGGTCATTTCTCATTAAGGTGAAATGCACAGGGTGGCATTTGGTATGACAGGGAGTTAACCTATTTGCCCCTATCCTGGAGCACCAACCAAAGGATTACTCATGACAACACAAGCAATTTTTTGCTGTCAGAATGCCTTGGTAAAGAAAGACTTGACCAGATCTGCCATTTTGTGTTTGCAGTTTTGTCACAACTGAGCCCGTTGCATCAAAGCACACAGATGAGGGAGTTTTTTGGACAACGTTTTGTAAACAGGCAACTGAGTTTGACTCCAATAGTGACAAAAAAACCTGTCCAGTCCAATATCTCGGATACTAACACAGGTTGGTGCACTATATTTAAATAGATGTAAAGATGCAATGGGATCTCTGTGCCCTGATTCCAAATCTTTCCTCTCTTGTTTGGCCTTTCGCAGGGTGGCCAAATTTTGGAAGGTGGCTTGGCTCAGGATCTCCAACATCCATGAGATCTGCTGCCTTGCCTGACCTCCATACAGCTGGTTCCATCCTGCCTTCACATAGCTCTTTGGAAATCTTGTCACGCAAGTTTCCAGACATGAACCGCTTGGAACAGCCAGTGTGCTGGAAGACGTTTATTTATGTAATAGAACACTGGAGCACCATTGGACTATTAATTGCTGGCTCTGTGTCACATGACATTTCCAACTGAGCTTGGCATTCCTTACAGTGGCCTCTAATTTTCAAACAATTATTGTTGGTGGTTGGATGGATCTTCGCTCTTCGGAAAACAAGTGTGCATGTGTTTTTCACTTTCTTCCAGATAAGATCGTTCAAGATATGAGTCCAAGTGCCGGGCTTCAAAATGGTGTATTCTCTTTTTTGAGAATGAGAAAACTTGTCCTTATATTTAACCTTTTCTGGAATGAACTTGACCCAGTCCTCAGAAAGTACCTCAAGCTTAAAGGCCAGACAGTTTTCTCGTCCAGAGGAAATGTCCCCGGAATCTACCTCTGTTTCACCATCACTTTCCTGATCAGTGATTTCAAAACTGACCAGATGTTATATCTGTTCAGCTTCACAAAGGTGTACAGGGCTCTTGCTGACATCTTGTCTTCTAGCTGATGACTCATCTCTGTCCATACTGGGGCAGTTGGAGTGGCTATTTTGCCATTTTGGAATATGGCCTCTTTTGAATTGAAAAGGATTTCAAAAAGTGAGTTTCTGTCTACAGATGGCTTTTGAGGCATCTAAATCAGAATTAAAAGAAAGTATGATTAGGATGGATCAAATGATGCCTAGGCTATATAATCAGCATGGAGAAACCCAGTTCTCCACCAATATACACATAAAAATATTTGACCATTTGTTTTTATCTTTGTGCTATTAAAATGTAATGTAATTAAATTAAATACTGTTTAATTGTTTCTATTATTCTGTCTGAATATTGTTTTATACTTTAACATGTGCTGTATAGCACTTTTGTTCAGTGTCCTGGCTATTTTTGAATTGCTTTATTAAGCCCAATTAAGTTTTCCTGAATTAGCAGATAAAAGCATCGGTTTCTAAAAATATTAAATGTTTAAAAAAAAATCACACTTTCTGGCTTGTTGGTGAATTTTAATGTTTACTACATCCTGTATTAACTTAGCATGTATAGCTTAATTTCAATTCTCTTAACTTGTTCAGAAAATACCATGGGTAGTAAAAATAATTCAATAAAAACCTACTTTTTACACTTTTATTCCAACCAAAATCTTTGTATTGATGGCAACACTGCTAGCTTGTTCGTTTGTGGAAAGACATTAATGTAAATGGTGATTGTTCTGTTCACAATAAAGTAAAAAAAATGTTTTGCCCTTGTACTAGAATTTGCAGCAAGGTCTGTGGGACAGTGGTTAAGTAGGGTAGCTCTTGGAGATTGGTGATGGGGGTTCAAATCCTGGTGGTGTATTTTTTTTGACTGATATCTCATACTGATGAAAGAAAAATATTTGTAAAAGTAACATTGATTACTACTGTATATGTTCAACAAATAAAGATTATTTAAAAACATAAAGGAGACAGGTTTTCTTGCAAAACTTCATTAAACTCATTTACAAATAAAAGGCACACATGGTATTTGAAAAAACGTCAAGCATATATCTCAGAAACCATAGCAGCACAAACGTCAATTTTACCTGCACAAATCAGCACAAATGAAGCACTAAAAAAGTAGACTGATATGGTCCATTTTGGAGCAGTTTGGGAATTTGATGATGTCATCATGCAAAAATAAAACTTGTAATATCTCAGAAACCGTTGCAGCACAAACGTCAGTATCACCTGCACAAATCAGCACAAGCGAAGCACTAACTGAGCAGCCTATTTGCCTGCACTTTTGAAGCGGGGGTGGGGGGGGTCAGCCTCTTAGAGCTCTTAAAGCTTTGGCTTTTTTCAGTACACATGCACTTATTTGCTACTGATGAAAGACATAAAGTCTTTTCTTTCTGGAATCATTCAGTGGTGCCTCAACACACCGGTGTTTACGTCCAACACAAGGTGCTGGAGCTCCAGGAAAAATACTGCAAAGCTTAAATCTCCTCTCATAAGCTGCAAGTTACTTAACCCTTCTATGGACTCTGGCCTAAAGCAAGCCAGAGTTGGTGATTATTTGTCCCGTCTTTGCTTTTGTTTTACCTACATTTTCCGGATGCTTCCAAGTCATCACCAAAAGCTCCAATCAACATACATTTCTCATCCACTCCTATACTGCCCCAGCTCTTGCAAAAATGGATTTCTAAGAATGTAAAAAATACTCATTTTTAGACATTTTATCTTATTTTTTGTTTAAATAGAAAATAAATTCTCTAGAAAAATAACATCATTTAAAATAAGGAACATAATGTAAAATATTATTCAAAATTTCTTGTTATGAGTAAAAAATTAATCTGTCAATGTGGTAAGCAAAATTTGCATGGCTAGAATTTTTTGCTTCCCTTTTTTCTCATAACAAGATAATTGAAGTGACTGGACAATAGAGTGCTCATCCCCTCAGGACCACTAATAACTGCTAAGTTTTAGACTGATTAGTGTCTCCTAGTGAGAGTTTTATCTGTCTGGTCAATTTTATTTGATCTGTTCCTCTTTTGAAATTTGTCTCGACATCAAGGCTCTATCGACGCATTTAACTCATCGACATATAAACCGTAAATCCTCTAATATTGGCCTGTATTCAATTAACGGCCGGGTATCACATTTTGGTCGGAGTCGGCGGAGGTGAATAATGGCCGTTTTTTTTTATTGTGGCCGGGTGGAATGTGGTAACAAGCAAGTAACACAGCGGGGGGGTGGGGGGTGTTATCTGTCTCACTTTTGATTTGCCAGTGATAGACCACGAGGGTAACTTTAACCATGCGGAGATGAAGAGGAGGCGAAAATTTGATATCAAGTTCAAAGAGAATTAGGGGGCAATGCGCTGTGCCAGAGCGTCGGTACTGACACCGGCCGTAAAACGGACATTTAACCAAACTGTGACCTTTTCCCTCTTGCAATTTAACCTTCCCCTCACCCCCATCCTAACCTTAACCAGCTTGCGCATGCAAAGCTCTGATTGTTGACACGCTCCGGACATCTGCGTCCTGAGCACGGCCACAGTAACATTATCAAATTAGGTGTCACCACCTCAAAAACTAATTTAACACGCGATCGTTCATGTCGGCTCATTTCCTTTCATGTTTTCTGTTTTTTATTCTTTTATTTGTGCCTGATGCGTTTCGCTGCTGTGGAGCGGGGCGCATCACCTTGTCCTCCGGTGACGCACCGATCACTGAAGCAGCCGGCAAGCAGCGAGCACTCCGCTATTTTTGCAGTCGGTAGATCTTTTAGAACTGCAGTTCAAAGGTAACTCATAAGGTGAATACAGTAAATCCTCTAATACAGGCCTGTATTCAATTAACGGCCGGGTCTCATATTTTGGCCGGTGTCGGAGTCGGCGGAGGTGAATAATGGCCGGTCTCTTATTGTGGCCGGGTGGAATGTGGTAACAGGCAAGTACGGGGGCGGTTGTGTCATCGTCTCACTTTTGATTTGCCAGTGATAGACCGCGAGGGTAACTTTAACCGTGCGGAGACGAAGAGGAGGCGAAAATTTGATATCAAGTTCAAAGAGAACGTGCTGATTATGCTGCAGAACACTGGGGAGCAGTAGCAGGGGTTGTATGAACTAGTCGACTTCATTATAGTGACTTTTTATGCCTGTCATCAACTAGTCGCTGTCACGTGATAATGACCGGCAAGATGCAGCCCTCGGAAAAGACAGCAGCCTGCTGTCAGCAGGTGACAAGCTCCTGCGCTCGGGGGGGGACGCGCTGTGCCAGAGCGTCGGTACTGACACGCGATCGTTCATGTCGGTTCATTTCCTTTAATGTTTTCTGTCTTTTATTTGCGCCTGATGTGTTTCGCTGCTGTGGATTGGGGCGCATCACGTTGTCCTCCGGTGACGCACCGATCACTGATGCGGCCGCCAAGCAGGGAGCACTCCGCTGTTTTTGCGGTCGGTAGATCTGCGTCCTGAGCACGGCCACAGTAACATTATCAAATCAGGTGTCGCCACCTCAAAAACTAATTTAATACGCGATCGTTCATGTCGGTTCATTTCCTTTAATGTTTTCTGTCTTTTATTTGCGCCTGATGCGTTTCGCTGCATGCTGTGGAGCGGGGCGCATCAGAGAGAATTATAAGATACCTTTCGTCAAACATTTTGACAGGTCTATTGTTCTTTGACCTTTCAGTCCTATTGTTCATTTGACCCTTGACCTTGCCCCCCCCTTCCTATCATTAATCAAATGGACAGGTGTATTGTTCAATCTTTGCCCCCCCTTCCGTATCATTAATCAAATGGACATGTGTATTGTTGATCGTCCAGATGGCCTAGACCCCCCACGCCGCATCATCAATGGCGTATTGTTGAACGTCCAGATGTCCATGATTCCCCACGTCATAGGCTAATGTGTGTAATGGCGCATGAAGTTTCTTATTGTGTTACCCAGCGGTTCCCACAGCCCCCCTCCCTTCTGAGTGTAATCCTATTGTGTATAACTCTTTAAAAGCTCAGATCTGTCCGAATGGTGAAAAGCCGAGCTCTAAGAAAAAATGATGAACCACGAGGAGATGCATGAAGCACCAAGCCACGAGGAAGAGGTGCCTACTACATCCGACGCTTCAACTTCAACTCAAAAGTGAAAGAAGAGAGCGTGGATACGCCGCTGTCAAAAACCATGCTTTGTGAAAAATCCATCGCTATACATCAGATGCCGGCTGGAATTGGTGCTCCCCGCAAATCTACATTTTACATCTGCAGAGTGCAGGTTCCTCCTTTCGGCGGTAAAGAGATCTTGGAGCAAATATGGCAGTTGGAACCTTACGGCTATTCCGGTAGTTTTGGGTACCGGTTCAGCTACGACACTAAGGAACTGTGTTTAATCCAAGATGTGGTTGAGGGGGAACCTCTTAAATCCTATTTATCAAACTCACCAGCGGTTCTCTCCTACAACGATTGGACTGTGCTCAGGCTGGCTGTTCCACGCAAGGTGCACAGAGATGATGAAGAGAGACCTCGTCCGCCTGTCAATCGCAGCGGGCCGCAAGCTCTTCCAACGTTGGATGAAATCCAGAACGCTGTGACAGCATTCAGCGCTTCATGGGAGGGGGAAGAGGATGCTGATGGAGAGTGGATGTTCAAGGCCTCGGTCCGTGTGAGAGGATTTGAGCTCTTTTTTGTGCTGGAGAATGTGCATTCTGTATGCGGAATTTACCGCCTTCTACAGGTTGTACCTTTCGAAGCCTGGTGTGAAAAAATAAATGAAGTGGAGGATCGTATTACTTCACTTTTTCGTACCAGCCGCTGTTGGAACGACATTCTGACAGTGCGAAAAAAGCTGGAGTTCTAAGACCTGCCTTAGGAGGAGGAGGAGGAGGTTGCATCATCATACCACGCCCCCCACCCAGCACTAGTTATAAAGAGCTTACAGTTAGAAACCATTTCATCCAGACGATCTAGGCATCAGCATGACGGGGTTCTACAATCAGACGACCCTTAAAGACCTTTGGAGCCCACCACCGAGCTGGGTACTAACGGATTCATCACCACCGAGATACAACACCAGTCCGAGGTCCAGATCGCTACCATCACCACCACCGCCGAGATACAACGGCAGTCCGAGGCCCGCATCGGCACCATCGTGTTTTCCAGAGGATAACCTACCACGACTCCCCACCATCATGGAGGTTCCGGAGAACGTACCATTCAGGCCCTGGGTCGACGGGGCTGATCCACCTTTGGTGACATCAAACCCTGAGCCGCCGCCAGGTCATGAGGAGGAGGAGGAGGATGTGCAACCCCTCGACATCCAGAGCACCGATGAGTAGCCTCACCGTCTGTCTGACTGGGTGTTTTCAGAAGACAAAGTAGACCGTGTGAAAATGGGTCTTCTTCACTTGGTCAACATGGCGATCAAAGCTCACTTACCAACCATCTGCCACGGATGCAAGATCGATCACCCCAGTCAACGGCAACACGAATGTCTTTACGTAGCTATCCAAACACTTAGAATGGAATGTGAGACTGCTATGAGAAAGATTGATCCTGATTTCTATCTCATTCACAGATTCCCCGACCCCATTCTCAAATATCAGATCGGTGATGAAATAGAATTTAGATTTTTAGCGCCTCTGGCCTATCTGTTAGGTTTCAACGCGGGTGAGTGGTTGACGCCTGAAGGTACTTCAGGCCTCGATGAACCGATCAAATCGGCGCCTCACCCACCCGATTTAACAGGCGGTCTATATCAGTTTTACTGCTACACGGATGTCGTGACCGAGCAGTTGGTCGGGGACGTCTTTGCGCCTTTATTACGTACGGTGAAAGTTGAAGGGACCTTCGGTCACACGGTCACTCATGTGTTTAATCCTGTGGATTACATCAGCGTTTCTACGAATCATATAGAAAGCATTCATATCGAAATAAAATCTGATCAGAATGAGCCGATTCACTTCTTATACGGAAAAACAACGGTGAGGCTTCATTTCAGGCCCGCACATCAGAGAAATACAATAATATAACGCTCGTGAAACAGGGTGAGAGAGTCAGTTACGCTCGTACGTCTTGCAGACATGATTTATCACCTGCAGAGAAACAATCCCAACCGTTTTATCAATTATTACGTCACTCAGGCCGGTCATGGTTTACCAGGTTTTAGCGGTGTTCCTTATATGTACGGACGTGGCTTTGGATCGATATTTTCAAGACTGTTTCGATTCATATCACCTTTTGTTAAAAAAGGATTTGCTCTGGCTAAACCGCATCTCAAAAAGGCCGCTACAGGAATCGTGTCAGATGTGTTGACGAGAGCCGTCGGTAAAATCAATGACCCTAATGCCCAAGAGGGGTCAGGCCTCATGGTTCTGTCGAGGCGTGTTCGCAAATGACCCCCCGGCAGGCGTTTAAAGACATCTACATCACGAAGCGACCGGCGCATCAAAGCTCCAGTTACAAAACGCAAGCAAAAGAGGAAGAAGTCTCGCCAGACGGGCTCTGATATTTTTTAATCATGTCACTGCTCCACAGCAAATCGTCAGAATGTACGCTGAGTGAACTGGATCTCTTCACCGTACCCATGACGCAGTTGTCTATCGAAGATAAGATCTACAGCGAAATTTTACCCATAGCGGCCCTGACGGACGGCGGGCCTGTAGAATTTTTTGTCCCCGGAGATGGAGAAAAATATTTGGATTTAAACGACACTCTTCTATTTTTGCGGGTGAAAATTACAAACGATGACGGCAGCCCGCTAGATGATGGTGCTGCCACCGGTCTGATTAATTACCCGATAAACACGATTTTCTCACAATGTGACGTGGTTCTCGGCGATCGTCTGATTTCACAGTCCAGCGCCACGCACCCCTACAGAGCGATCATCGAAACCCTGCTGAACTTTTCTGAAGCGAGTTTGAATTCTCAATTCAGCGCGGGATTGTTCTTCAAAGACACCGCAGGCGCGCACGATTCCGCCGTTGTAATTAACGGACGCAATTTAGGCCTTAATCAACGAGCGACTTTTACAGAAAACTCCAGAGAAGTGGATCTGATAGGACCCCTGCATTCTGATATATTTTTCTGTGAAAGACTTCTTTTAAATTCTGTCGATCTCAGAATTAAACTGACACGCGCGTGTGATGCTTTTTGCCTGATGGGGGCGCGTGATTCCACCTACAAGCTGAAACTGCTGGGTGCATCGCTTTTTGTGAAGAAAGTTAATATTTCACCCGCCGTACGTTTGGGTCACGAGTCTGCTTTACTAAAAGCAAACGCCATGTACCCGCTCTCACGCGTGACCGTCAAAACTTATTCCATTCCACAAAATTCGAGGATATGTAATCTGGAGAACCTCTTTCTCGGCGCCAATCCTAAATATATCGTCTTAGGATTAGTGGATCACGAAGCTTACACAGGACGTCGAGATCTTTCGCCTTTTAATTTTCGCCACATGAATGTGGAATATCTGGCGTTGTCCAGAGACGGAAAACAGATTCCATCGAAAGCCTTCCAACCTACTTTTTACCAGGGAACATCGGTCAGAGAATTTTATAATCTGTTTACAGCCACTTCAAGACAATTGAAAGATTTGCCTCTATCGATTAATAGGTTGGAATATCAACAGGGGTATACACTCTTTGCCTTTAATCTGAACACAGCGGATGACTCGGAGGCGCTTTCAACCGTTTCCACCGGCAACCTGAGGATGGAGATGCGCTTTGGAGAACCTCTGAGAGCCACGGCTACACTCATTGTGTATGCGTGTTACGACTCCATTCTGGAGATAAACTCAAAGAGAGAGGTATTGGTGGATTATTATTAATGGATAATCACGAATTGGACGGCATATTATCGAGCCTGCTGGGAGATTATTTTGGTGGCGTGTACGCGTCTGATCAGCTGTCTACCGTCCCAAAAAACATTCGACTACCGGCCTACTTTGTGGTAAACACTCATCCTGTCCATTTACCCGGTGAACACTGGTTGGCGCTAGCTGTGGAACAAAATGGCCTCGGAACATTTTTTGACTCTTACGGTCTATCGCCTGAATTTAAATATTACCCTGAAAACATCCTGAATTTTCTAACAGAACGTTGTTCACGAATACAATATCAGGATCGTCAGCTACAGAGTTTTGCATCCGACCGTTGTGGCCAGCATTGTGTTTTTTTCCTGTGTCATAAGGCTTGTGGACTTTCTCTGAAACAAATTCTGTCTAAATATCATAAAAATGTAGATAAAAATGATGCTATGGTTTATCATTTTGTTAAAAAATTTTCAAATTGCATCAAACGTCATGATGTATACTTCACACAGGTGAATTGTACTCTTGAAATGTTTAAAGAATGTCACGGACTGTGAAATTTGTTTTGAATAAAGTTTTATTGAACAAACAAGAGAGTTAAGGTGTAAAGCTGATCCATTTCTTCAAAGTGGGGACATCGCTCCAGCTTGGTGATAAAATGATATTTCTCCTCGGTTTTTTCTTTTTTTTCTTCAAAACACCGTCTTCAGAATCCGGAAGCACAACCCCTCCGTTCCTGAGTTGCGTAATCTGACGTTTCGCTAGCGGATTGGACACGATAGATAAGGGCACATTTTTTTCTACTAGAGTTTTTAGGAAAGGAGTCCAACCCGTCGGTTCTGATTGTGGATGTTTTTTTAACGGGTTGCTGATGCTTTTAATCAAGTCAAGGATGTGCGATCCTTTCTGCACATCGCCTTTATATTTAAATTCCCCCGTCGGAGTCCAGTTTAATCGTGTCATTTTCAGCAGGTACTCGGCGTTTTTTCTTCCGCGTACAGGAAGATTCTGTAGCGTTTCATTAATGAGTGTGTCAGCTGCTGTTTCTACAGCTGACGTAGGCTCAGCCGTCACCGTGGGCGGTTCAGTGGGAGGTGCACTTTCGTGTAATCCGCTTCTCATCAACTTTAAATAACGCTGTAGCAGCGCATTGTATTTTTTAATTTTCTCATACGGCGTTAATCCCGTCTCCTGCATAATTAATTTCATTTCAGAGTCAAGATTCTCTTCAGCCACGTCCCGTATCGTAGGTTTAACAAGCTGACGTAATTGTTGGGGGGTCACCATAAACATTTTTTGAGAAGCCATCGTTTATTTCCTTATTAAGCCACCTATCAGTTCGCCGATCAGAGGCGCAGCGGCTGCTAAGAGTATGGGTAGAAATCAGCCTTTCTGGCCGACTAAAAGCTTCTTTTTTTTAAAAAGGCTAGTTTTGTTATGAGTCAACTGCCTGAGCACCGTTTTGCTTTTAGACAACTTTTGAAATTGACGCGGTGACAGACGAATATTTCCTTTGATCACGTTTAAAGCTATCTCGCACAAAGCCTTGAGAACGTCCTCGGAGCACCCTTTTAAAAACTCCCGACGTTGGCGAGGCTTCATACGTGACAAAGCACGTAGAATCTTGGCGTTGCGTTTTATCCGGGCTGACATGGCTCTGTTTTAGACAAATACACCGCAGTGAGCTGATCCGGAAGTAAACCCGTATGGAGACGGAAAGATTCTGGCGTTTCCGCTTTTAAATCCACAATTAAATAACCGTACGGTTCTGACGTAGCGTCTTGAAAACTCTCCATGAAATATCTTTTTTGGGTAGGATATATTTGATTTGCTAAAACATTGATTTGCAATTTGTCTCGAGGGTTTTTAAACAAAATCAAATAATTGGTGTTTAAGCTGATGGAACGACTATGTTTTCCTTGATGAAAAACATTTTGAGTGATTAAAATGACGCTCATATTTCTGTGATGTCTCAGCTGCGTAAATAATTTTAACACTCCAGGATGGCTGGACGTTTGAGACATCATGTCATCCAAGATCAACAAGTGGTTTTGACCCGATGGAAATAAATCATCATCCTCGAATGAAAGCGGGAGACCTTGAACGAATCTAATACTTTTATTACAAAGATCATCATACATAGGTTGATAATATGTAAAAAACCACACGATGTTTTCTGGCATTTCAGTTAAACATTGCATACAATTTTCCAAAATACTTTTGTTGGTCTTTTCTTCTGTTAGACCAAGCACGGGTACGGAGAAGATGGAGTTAAACACCTTTTGAGTTGGTAGAATGAGGAGACAAATGATCAGAGGAGTCCAGTCACTGTTTCACCGCTCGAGAGGGGGAGAGCCCTTTTGCAGCAGGTCCCGCGACCTGCTCTTGCCAGTTGCTTTGGACAGACTCTCCGCCGTTCTGCTGAAAACGGCTGATTTTTATTGAAGATTACAGGAATGTTACATACGCAGTTTGCCATGTACATACGTCATTGGTCATGACAGGTGAAAATAACAGCCTTGTTAGTGGACAATTAATACATCACTAGAACATGCATCCTTGAGATTACTAGGAGCATCCTGATACATGAAGATACATTTCACCGGTGCCGAGAGGAAAGTGAGAGGAGCTGTAACGTGCTCACTCCCTTCAAGGTTGCAGAACAGAACATGCTGCTGTAAATCTTTGTGTAGGGGCCTTGAGTATCTGAGCAAGTGTACATATCACAGAGTAATACAAATGAGCTTAAAAGGTAAATATATAAAAGAAGCTTATAAGGTAAATACATATATTTTCAATCCCCCTTTTGAACTCTTTTAAGAGTTCAACAAAGATGTAGGAAATCAAAACAACAACACCAAATTTCATCAAAAAGAATCTAATAAGCAAAGTTTTAAAATGCCAATAAAGACAATCAATCAGATTAAAATACCAATACAATCAAACAATCAGATTAAAATACCATTAGAAACAAACAATCAGACTACAGCTTCTCATATTTCTAGCAGTAAACTAATACAAAAAACATGATCATATGTGGAACTGAACATGTTACATATGAATGGATCGCATGCACACCCGTATGAGGGCGAAAAACCCTAATTATCGTACGTCAAATAGGGAAAATTCCCCCATGTCCCCCCATTTTGGGGCGAACGCCTTTTGGCACAGAGTGGGCATGCCTAGGACATCAATGATCAAAAAATAAAAACAACAAAACAATCAAAAAACACATAGAAATGAACTGGTGAAGGGATTGTTACATAAATCACTGAAAATTCTCACACTCTAACAACATCTTCTTCATCATGAGAGTCATCACTATCATCAGAGGGTTCCCCTCCCAAATAGATGTTAGGATTGGCTAGTAACAAGGGCATCTGGATAATTGGGTCAGCAGGTGGAGGAGAGATGGCAATGGTAATCAATCTCTGGACTAAGTGCCTAAGACAGGGGATACAGCAACAGCCGCAAGTAACAAGAATGGCAGCGAAGACAGACATGGACACCAGGACGGAGGAAACGAGAGATTTGTATTTACCAAATACATCAAGCCAAGAGTCCCACATGGAGGTGTCTACACCAGAGTGGGATTTCATTTTTTCTGTCAAAGAGCGGAGGCCGTCTAAGGCCTTAGTTAAGCTACCGTCCGAGGCCGTATTGTTGGGGATAAAAACACAGCAATCGTGAGAAAACATGGCACACACGCCCCCTTTTTCAGCTAACAGCATGTCTACAGCAATTCTGTTTTGGAAAGCCATCAAGGAAGTAGCCGATAGTTGTTGGTGAACTGCCTCAAGAGCAGTACGAGTGTAATTACTTAAGAGTTGAACATTGAAATGGATGTAGTTAATGCGGTCGACATTTTTATTGGGAGTTATCCAGACAAAAATAGATTCCCATCCGGCGGCTATTTGGTCAACTAATTTGTATTCGTCTGGAACGCCTCTGGGAACGCCAATTGCATCTATATAAGTGGGATTGTGAAATGCAGGTAAAGCTGGTAAAGATCGCTTTCGTCGGGTGCTAGAGTAAGAGCTGGAAATAGGGGCATCATGAAGGGTTACAGGAGTAACAGTGACAGGTAACAGTAAAGTAATAAGGGCACACAAACCTGAAGATTTCCTGGGAAAACCATTATAGAGCTGAGGTGCACCACACCACCACCATAGATTGGCACGCTTTTTGGGTTTGAATTGTGAAGAAACTGACACGGTTGTATTAACGCACCAATTTGTGGTGACATTCCCTAGAAAAGGACCGCCTCGTCCAATTAGATGAATACAACTGAAGTTATTAGGGGCCACAATGTTGGAAAAGAAGGGCGTACCAATGTCATCGCCTGGTTTTTGCTTTGGAAAGATTTGTCCAAACTTGGTACAATTGGAATTTAGGGAAGTTCCGTTCATCAAATGAAGGAAACATTCTGGAGGAATCGGAGGTGGTACAATACGGAGAGTAGGACGAGCTGAAAGGCAAACAAGACAATCCTGATCAGAAGCATTAGCTGCTTGTTCAGCCAGGAGTAACCAATTATTAGTGCTAGCGGAAATGCCGGTAACCGTCTGAAATGTCTCATCAACCGAAGGGTTTTTAGTCTCAATAGTTATCGCTGGAGAGGGTTTATTCACTTCAGCAATGTCAAGTAACACAGGAGAGGGGGGAGATTTACTTAGCCCGACAATATCAAAGACGGTAGAGGTAGGTGAAGTAATATTACGGACACAGAGGTGCACTGTCCAGTAGTAGCTCCCACTAATCCAAGGAGCAAGTACAAATAGGGTACATCCAAGGGAGTTTATTGGACTAATTATGAAAGTCAAAGGGCCTGTTTTAGATCCGCCTTGTTTTATCAATTTGATTCTGGTACGCCAAGTTGTAGCTACTCCTTTGGAGCAGGATGACCAATCATCGCCTGTTTCAGCAACAAGACTGCTCCACTTCCATTGAGAGTAAGATCCCCACGTTAAGTACCAAACATGCTCTTTCAGATCAGATGACGTGTAATGACCATGTGCAGGGTTCGAGGGCAAAATGTCGTAGGGGAGTGTAACCGTGGTGGCTGTGGATAATGGGATACACAGAGTGATTGCTTGGGTTAAATAGAGAAAATCAGAGTTACAAGGAGGTGAGGGGGATGGAAGAGGTAGGGATCGCTTGTGCCGGTCAATAGGTGGTGGAGGATGGGCCGTTGGTGTTAGCGGGGTAGGCTTAGGGGATGAGGGTGGCAAGAGTGGTAAGGGGAGATCATTGCAGAGGAACAAAATAGCCAATGGGATACATAGCAGGATAACAGTGAGAAGTAGGATCAGGAGACGCTGCCTGCACGTGAGGATGGGAGGGAATGGCCAGGACATAATTAGGCTTATTCAGGAGTTAATTTAAGAAATTGTAAGGGTTATAGCTGCTGTAATCAGTGCCAGAGAACGCACTATATGCTAAAATTGCTATTGTTACCAAATCTTCTAGGTCAGTGAAATCGCGAAAGTATCTGTCGTTCCACAACCCCAACCTGCTGTCCCTGTATGCCAACCGGTTTAGTTTACTTGGATACCAGACTATTGGAAAGGATTCTCGTTGAATTATGTTACCCTCAGAATCTTCTTCCGGCCAGGACAAATGAGTGATCAGAATGTACATTAAGTTTGTAGAAATGCAATGAGCGCAAACATATATCTAATACTAAACAGGTAAATGAGTAATAATAAAAATGAGTAGTGAGTATAAAATATAATCCTTGTAAAATAAATGAGGGTGTGAAATAGAACCCAGATAAAATAAATGGAGGGTGTTAAATAGAACCCTTGTAAGATAAATGAGGGTGTTAAATAGAACCCTTGTAAGATAAATGAGGGTGTTAAATAGAACCCTTGTAGAATGTTCATAGGGTGGTTACTTCTTCCCCCTGTTGAGGTCCCTCCACTGGCTCCAGGCAGCTGCAGGGGGATATGATATCAATATTCTCGTCCCGCAGGATGTGGTGGCAGCTTGGCATGCTACCTCGTCCCGCAGAATTAGTAGCTTGGCACGCTACTGTAGTCAGCTACTTCTCTTCCTGTTTTTTTTTTTTTTTTTTTTTTTTTTTTTTTTTGAATCCTTTTTATGGTTCGGCAGATGTCAGCTGCTTCTCGTCCTGGTCCTTAGGTACTTTTCTGGTCAGGCAGATGTCGGCTGCTTCTCTTCCAGGTTAGGCTCCTCCCTCTGTGACAGGTTCTCTTGGACCTCGGTCAGGGTGCGGTGTGGCTCCTCCGCAGCAGCACACTGGGTCCAATGGTACCAGGAGTCTCCTTTGCCGTCCAGCCGGACAGCGTGTGACGTCCTCTCCGTGATCCTGTAGGGTCCGGTCCACCTCGGTTCCGTCCACTTCCTTTTGGTGACTTTCAGCAGGACCCAGTCTGTCCCAGGTTGTGGAGATGGGGCATCTGTGGTGGTACGATCAGCCTTAACCTGTAACGAGAACTGAGAGACAAGACTATGCAACAGATTATAATATGACCTTGAGTCGAGGGAGTCAGTCAGGTCAGCAGTCAGAGGTAGTTTTGTGGCAGGTCCTGGAAACGGCCGTCCAGTCTGTAGTTCAAAGGGAGTGAACCTTGTGGTTTTGTTAACTGAGCTCCGTGTGGACATCAGAGCAAGGGGCAAAGCATCTAACCAAGTTAATTTGGTCTGTGCACAGATTTTAGCCAATTTGACCTTTAGCGTTTGATTCATCCTTTCCACCTTTCCCTGGGACTGAGGATGATACACTGAACCAAACTTGTGTTTCAGTCCCAGCATGGTTTCAACCTCTTGTAGATCTTTGTTCTTAAAATGTGTCCCATTGTCCGATCTGATTTTTTCCGGAAACCCGTGTTGGGGAATGTAATGATTGATCAGACATTTGATGACTGTTTTGCTGTCTTCTTTTTTCGCAGGCCAAGCCTCCGGCCATCCAGTGTAGGCATCTACACACACTAGGAGATACCTGTAGCCTTTTACCCTGTCAATCATATCTGTGAAATCTATGGTTATCTCTTTTCCAGGGCATGTTGGTATTGGAAATTGACCTTGGATTGGTTTCAGGGTAGGTTTAATGCCAAACTGAGTACACTCTGTACAAGTTTTAACCAAATATCTGGCCATGTCTGTTAGGTATGGATGCCACCAGGGGGACAAATTTCTCATCATCTGTGCTACACCAACATGTCCAACACCATGTGCTTCTTCCATTGCTGTTTGCCTGATGCCAGGTGGTAGTATGGGTCTACCATCTGGACTTCTCCAAACATCTGTGTTAGTGGCGCCTCTTGCCAACCATAAAGTTTTTTCCTGTGCTGAAGCTTGATCTTGCATGTCTTTCAGTGTTTCTTTTGTGATGGATATTCTAGGATCAATGCTTTTTTCAACAGTTACTGTTTCAACCACTAGGTTATATACAGGAAGATATTCAGCTGTTATCTTGGCAGCCCTATCTGCCTCCTGATTTCCCTTAGATACAAAGTCAGAGCCCTGACTATGTCCTTTGCATTTTATCACTGCCACTTCTGCTGGAAGGAATAAAGCTTCTGCTAGTTCCCTCATCTCAGACTCATGTTTTATGGGTTTCACCCCAGCAGTCACAAAGCCAGCTCTCAACCACTGTTTCAATTCAACATGCACGGCTCCTACAGCATAAGCTGAGTCACTGTAAATATTTACTTTCTTCCCTGTGCTCATTTTGAGAGCGGCAATAATAGCTAACACTTCTGCTCTCTGTGCTGACTGTTGTCCTTTCAGCTTTTCCGCTCCTGCAGTGAACCACTCGCCTGTAGGGAGTTGCTCTACTACTGCCCAGGCAGCTTTTAATCCATCATTGTCATCTCTGTAACAACAGCCATCTGTGAACCAGTTCTTATCAGGATTTTGTAGTGGGGTTGCACTTAAATCTGGTCTGACTTTTTCTTCTATTGCTGTTCTTTGTTCGCACGAATGAGGCTCCCCATTACCCATGTGGTCTGCCATGTTTATCCCTTCGTGTGTGTAGGTGATGTGTGGGGCCTCTAAGATTTTACAGATTTTTCTTTGTCTTAGTGGGGTCATGGTGAAAGCTTGTGATGTAATGTAAGCTACTACACTGTGTGTTGTTAGTACTTTCAGAGGATAGCCCATTACAATGTGTGCTGTTTTTTGTAAAATTTTTGCAAGGCCTGCTACATGCTGTGTGCAAGGTGGGTGTCTTTTTTCCATGTTATCTAGCATGACACTTATGTACATCAAGACTTGTCTCTGACCTCCCCCTTTTTTCTGGAACAGAACTCCATTCACATGAGTTTCTGATCCAGAAACATCAAGAAAAAATGTGGATTTGTAGTCTGCAGTAGCTAAATCACTAGCAGTGGAGAGTTGTTGTTTGAGTTTTATGAAAGCTTCTTCTGCTGGAATAGTCCAGTTCAGGTGAGCTGTGAGTTGACGCATCCCAAAAGGTGCAATGAGGGCACGTAGTGGGGCAGTGAGACCAACATAGTTAGGGATGAAGTGTCTACTGTAGCCTGTCAGGCCTAGGAAAGATAACATGTCTTTGACTGTTTCAGGTTTAGAGTGATGGAGAATGGAGTTTCTGTGATCTGGTGACAATGACACACCAACTTGTGAAACCATCCTGCCCAAAAATGACACTTGTTTCCTGGCTATCTGAAGTTTGGACCGGCTGACCTTAAATCCAAGCCTGGCCAAATGAGTTAGTAATGTTTGAGTAGCTTGCAGACAGGAGCCCGCAGAGGGCGCTGACAGAAGCAAATCGTCAACATACTGCACTAGAACACAGTCATCAGGTAGGGGGCATGTGTCTAGGAGCTGACGCAAACATTGGTTGAACAAACCAGGTGACAGGGTGAACCCTTGTGGCAAACGCGTGTATCTGAATTGCTGCCCTCTGAATGTGAAAGAGAAAATGTCCCTCAGAGACTCATGAAGTGGGAGACAAAAGAATGCATTTGCCAAATCTATGCAGGAAAACCATGCATGTGAAGGTGGTAAGTTTGTCAGAGCCACATATGGGTTAGGGACGGGAAGTGAGTTTGTGTTAAGTAGGGCGTTTATACGACGCAGGTCATGAACCATTCGATATTTACCAGTATTTTTCTTTTCTACAGGTAAAATCGGAGTGTTCCATTCTGACATGGATGGTTCCAACACCCCTGCCTGCAACAGGCCATTGATGGTGTCTGCTATCCCCTCTTCAGCATATGGTTTGTGTGGGTATTGTGGAACCCACAGGGGAGCATGATCTTTTAGGTGAAAGGTCACAGGTGGGATGGACACCAACCCAACATCAGTGGGGCCTGTTGACCACAGGGAGGTGGGAAGCGAGTCTAACATTGTTAGAGCATCAGGGTGATCGGTTCGTTCGCGGCCATGAGATCTGCTAATTGTTTCCTGTTGTAAATGTGTTGAATTAGTACAAACCGCAGTGATTTTAAATGTCTGAGTCGAGTCTGAATACGACACTTGTGGAAGAGGAGTTGAACGCCAATCAGTGGTTGCTAGGGAACGTTTAACCATTCCTCCTAGTTCTTTTGCCTGATGGGCTGGATGTAAAGCAAGAGAGACATGAGGTACTGCCTCATCTTCCATCATGTACCATGCCAATTGTTCTTGGGTTAGGTTGGCTGCAGCAGCCACACCTTCTGGTGCAGCATAAATATCTGTTGTTTGTACACACCATTGCTGTCCCTCTAAATGATTTTGGAAGGCTTCTTTGTACCAAACTGAATCATGTCTGTCATAGAATAATGTTAGGTGAGGAGGGTCAGGGGGAGAAACATAAGGATGGACCTGAGTCAGCCAGGGTTTCCACTGCTGGTACAGAGTCATTAAGCCAGGAGTGTCCTTGGTTTCTGTGTCCAACAGAGCCCAATAAATCTCAGCACAGTCTGATATGTCAGGCAGTTTTTGGACCAAGTACATGCCATCACTGGCTTCTCCGGTGCAGGGCAAAATAGTCCCTTCTGGCAGAGTGACAGTAAGTCCCGTAGGTCCACACAAAATGGTGGCTCCTAGCTTGATGAGGAGATCTCTTCCTAGTAAGTTGACTGGAACTGTTGGTGAACAGACGAAGCTGTGCAGTACTGTCTGGTTTCCCACCGTAGTTGGGAGTGGCAGGGAGAAAGGCAGAGTTTGTTGTTCCCCAGAGAAGCCCGTAACTGAGATAGTGCGCGTAGATGTCTTAGAGGGCGGTACAGTTTGCATGGTGGAGCAGGTGGCACCAGTGTCAACCAAAAAAGGTTGATGTTGTCCATCTACAGTTATTGACAGCAGGGGGTCTGCCGTGGCTCCCTGACCGTCGGAGTTTCTCTGTGGGGCGTCCTATTGTCTTGGACCACCCTCCCACTGTTCCCAGCCCATCATTGGCATCTGGGTGTGGGGTCCTGTAGGCCCTCCTCGTCCTGAAAAGGTGCCTCTGCCTCGACCTTCCTTTTGTGGGCTGTATGGCAAAGGGCAGTTCCTGTACCAATGTCCTGGTTGACCACAGTTAAAGCAAATGTCTTGAGCACGTGGTCCCCCTTTGCTGCCCACTGGCCTCCACTGTCCCCTTCCCCTGAAACCGCCTCTGGTTCGACCAGCAAAAGGTGGTCGCTGGGCAGCGTATGGGTTGGGTGTGTTTACATATGGCCCTGAATATTGTGGCTGTGGCTGCCCTGAATATGGTGGCTGCGGCTGCCAAGCTATAGGTGAAACCTGATCAGGAAGTGTCTGCTGTGGTGGGGGTGTGGCTGTGGACGCAACCATTTGTTTCTTAACCTTGTCCCCCTTTTCACCTAAAGTCTTTTTTGCGGCTTGTAATTGGACCCTGAGCAATTGTTTCTGTAAATCTTCTAAGTTATCAGAGTCTTTTTCTTCCTTTACCTGCATTTTATTAAGGTTAAAAATAAGATGTTTTTTCCATTTGCTAAAATCACAATCCTGCAAATCAGGGTTGTCTTCCATTTTATGAGTCACCGAATCAGGGACTCCTTTCAGGACTGCATTTTTAAACCACATGCTGCTCGTGCCCCGTTTGGATGGGTGTTGGCCAGTTTGGGCCACCCAGGTGTCAATGGCTTGGTTCAGGTAAATTGAAGGATTTTGTTTAGCATCCCATTTAAATTTGCACATTGAGCTGCTATCTTTTAGTGGAAACATCTTTCTGACTGCTGGGCCTAATTGGGCTATCACTCTACCGAGAGGTACAGAATTAGAATCACGAGTTGTGCCAGCATCCTTTTCTAAGGCCTCCGCCTGTGAGCGTGACGTGCATCTAGTGATTACTGCTCTGAAGTCTCCCAATGCAAGATCCTGTCCAGCAGTGAGGGTGTCAAAGTCTGAGAGCCAAGTGTTTCCACCCTCCTGTATGTCTGGTAATTTATCTATTAAAGCCTGTATGTCCCCAAGGGAATACGGCTGATAGACTTTCTGGGCGTTGGGTTTGTTCTGCACCAGGGGTAATTGGTAAGTGGGTGGTCCCATGGACCTAGTATGTCTTATTTCTGGCTCTGGGGATGGAGGGTGGGAAGCAAATCCCCTTCTCCCCCACACTCTTCCTTAGAGGGCGGCTTCTGCCATTCCTCCTCTAGGAGAGATTCATGACTCTGACTGGCTGCTGGAGGGAGATCAGATGATTCATGTCCCACCAGAACCATCTTAACCACTACACTTCTGTTAGGGTCTTCCTGCTCTTCACCCTTTAACTGAGAGGATGCAAAAATTGGTGTTGGCTTTTGTTCAGGTGCTTTAGGCCATACTTGTGGGCAGTTTGCCCAAGGCGCTGGAGGGGGAGCATGGGAGCTCATCCCCGTGCTGTAGTCAGGAGCGACCAGGCCCTGACTGAAGTAGGGAGTAGTGAACTGTTTCTGTGAGTTATCTATTTCCTGACGTTTAGCTCTTAATTCGAACGGCGCAGCTGGGTTGTTCGCAGACGGAATGCTGTTTAATGTTTCATTGCTTCTCAGATAAGGTTTGTGTGTCTCAGGGGCTGTGGGACTGACTTTAACGTCTGATCCTGAGGTCATAGTTACACTTGACCACTCACTCTCATTATCAAGTGGGACTTCAGGCTGAATGTCCAATGTACCGCTTGTAACTTTAATTAATGGATACATTCCAGCTGTCGGAGCAGTAGAAGAGTAAGGAGGTGGAGATTTATGCTCCTTTTTTACGCGCTTCATATTAGGTCTGGCGGTGTTCCATAACATTATCCACTGCATGTATTTACTCACACGGGCTGCCTGCCTGTCAACCTCACTTTTTGCTTTCTTCCTTGTCAACATTCCAGCTTCCCTCAGAGTCTCTGCAGCCTCCTGCCTTTTCTCTCTCGCTTCTGCAGCTTTTACTTCCCAGATCCTGCTCCAATTACCTCTGCTGTTAACATCTACTCCTTTTTCCTTCATCGCCTTTTCTGCTGACTTTCTCAATAAAACCTTATTTCTCGTAGCTTCAACCGGGCTGCTTGTCAAATTTATTACAGTCTCCATACAAGCTAATTGTTCTCCCAGTGTACTCAGAATGTCATCAGGTCCCCATCCATCATCCTCCGTTCCACAAACATGTTCTTTTTCCATCATTCTGTTAGTATGTTGTATGTTGCTGATTTTTAGTGACAATTTGGACTGACGAGGGGTTTAGCCCATAGGGGGCTCTAGCTCACCAGTATTGATTAGTGAGACAGCGCCAATGACCTCTGTGGTATTTCCTTCTTCAACCTGTGTTTCAGGTGAGGAAATCTTGCCTAGAGCATCCACAAGGGCGCGCTGTATTTCTCTCACTTACACATACAATTTGTTAGTACAGTTCATTCATTCGTTACCCGTCTTCACTGCGGAGGGTGTGGTGGTCTCCGCTTATTCAACTAATCCCTATTAGTTGTGATATGAAAAAATCTATGTGTTTTTACACTTATCCTTACTATCTGCGCTGTGAGTGCAGATGATATGTTCGCTAAGCCTAAAGAGACTTATTCACTCTCATTTGGAGTTATTCTGTCTCTTTTATTATGTAATTCAAGTTAATCAGTCAGCTCCATCTGTTTTACCGACAAAGCTGATTGAGACTTGACATTCATACAGCGTGTTTTCTAACTATAACGTGTGTTTTGTGTCAAAAAAATACAGTTTCATATCCACATTGCTTATTTCATGCAGAAACAGCCAAAAACATAGCTCATTTTTACGCAGAAACAGCCAAAAGCACTACTCACTTCACGCAGAAACAGCCAAAAACATAGCGCATTTTATGCAAAAACGATCAAAAACATTTTTCTCATCTCATACAAAAGGTCCTTGACCTTTAAAATCTAGGGAGCTCTCTTTAGCCTCCCCTGCCCTTAACCCGAACCAGGTCCTCGACCTGTACTTTAGGGAGCTCTCTTTAGCCTCCCAGGGCCTCAACACAAACCAGGTCCTCGACCTGTGGACTTTTAGGGTTCCCACACCTATGGACTCTTCGCCAAGCTCTTATATAACCTCGTTATATTTCTATTCACTCGTCAGCAAATAGTGTGGTCAGCCACGACCTGGAAACGGAACTTTAGGGCTCTTCTAATAACCCTGGGCCACCATCCCTTCTTCTGTACTATTTCCTTATCTCATTTACCATTAAACCATTAGAAAAATCCTCATTTCATTTCACCACTAAACCATTACAAAAAATCTCTTATTCTTCTGCACTTGTCTCCACTTTCTTCTCCAACTATTATTTTAGGACCACAGCTACTATGATTCTGGACACAAAGGCTTTGGATAAATCCAATGAGCAGATTTTAGAAAATAAGGCCTGCTTACCTTAGTTTTTCACCGCGGTGTTTTTGTGCCAAGATCGTTCGCTGGGTCAGCTGGTCGAATCGTCCTCCAAAAACTCCTTTTTCTTCAAAAAGAAAAAATCCTGTTCGTGACGCCAAATTTTGTTGGTCTTTTCTTCTGTTAGACCAAGCACGGGTACGGAGAAGATGGAGTTAAACACCTTTTGAGTTGGTAGAAATGAGGAGACAAATGATCAGAGGAGTCCAGTCACTGTTTCACCGCTCGAGAGGGGGAGAGCCCTTTTGCAGCAGGTCCCGCGACCTGCTCTTGCCAGTTGCTTCGGACAGACTCTCCACCGTTCTGCTGAAAACGGCTGATTTTTATTGAAGATTACAGGAATGTTACATACGTAGTTTGCCATGTACATACGTCAATGATTATGACAGGTAAAGAATAACAGCCTTGTTAGTGGACAGTGAATTCATCACGAGAACATGCATCCTTGAGATTACTAGGAACATCCTGATACATGGAGATACATTTCACCGGTACAGAGAGGAGCTGGAATGTGCTCGCTCCCTACAAGGTTGCAGAACAGAACATGCTGCTGTAAATCTTTGTGTAGAGGTCTTGACCATCTAAGCAAGTGTACATATCATAGAGTAATACAACTGAGCTTTATAAGGTAAATATATAAAAGAAGCTTATAAGGTGGATACGTGAAGCTTATAAGGTAGATACGTATATTTTCATGATATAAGGAATAATGGTATGCTGATGTTCAGCGTTGCTTTAATGCAAAGCATGGAGCAGAGTCTGTGTACAGGAAGTTGTGGTTAGGCAACTGTGCATTCATGCTGGGGAGAAGCAAGCGCAGGCGCGTTGCAAGCTTTTCAAAAGTGTGGGGGGTGTTGTCTGTGGATGTCATCAGCTGTAAATTGAAACTCAGCCTCAATCCAGTAACGGGTCCGCGCATGATTCACAGTAACAAAGTCCTTCCAAAAACATGCTTAATATTCACCAATGTATAAACTGCACACATGCAGAACGGGAAGAACTAATCTTCCAAACAACAGAACCCAAGTTTTCTCCATCAACAACACCCAATTTCAACAATAAGCTGTTAAATCAAAAGGACGTAAAAAGACACTAAATACGCATTTAGAGAAAAACACACAGTAGCAACAATCCAACATCCTATCCACAGAATCCAGCGTTTAAATTAAAGCCCGGGCTCTCCTCTTTCCAACAATATTTATGCACTCTACGTGCAAAATTCACAGCAGCTAACAAACCACAGCTCATTTCATGACGTGAAAAGAGTAAATACTATGGAGCTAGGATTGGGACAATATTCAATGTAACTTGTACCAAGTTTTGTAACTTGGAACATGTTTCATGACACGTAACTTTGGATTCGTAACTTGTAACTTTAGTTTTCTAACTTGTAATTCTCTATTTGTACGTGTATTTCTTGTTTTGTAAC